TCGGCAAAAATTAAGTGACGGTCCCTTTAGTCCTTCGCGTATCAACGTTACTCGTTACCATGGATACCGCCTACGCAAGTCAGGGTCACTTGGCTCCGGTCCGGAGCTCCGGTGCGGTAAAGTGTAATCGAACGCGAATGTTGATCCGCATGACATAATTAATTGACAAGAACGACTGTTATGTTGCACAATCATGTACGTCATGTGCAGCCACTGACAGTCAGTGTACTGCTACTACTGGTCCTTCACATGGTATCGAACAGAGAGTCGCGAAAGCAACGACTCCCAGATTCAGACTCTCCGGGGTCTTTCACTTCAGGCGTCACGGTAAAAATAATGTCCTCCGTAGTGCAGTGCGGTGGTTGTGGGTCGTCCACGACCACCCTAAGTCTAAAGTTTGTTTCGTGTTTGCACGCACTTTGTGTGCCGTGCCTGCAGAACAGCTTGGGATTTGATGGCAGCGTAAAGTGTCCACTATGTTCGGTCAGCACGCAGTTGCATTTCGGCCAGGATCCATTGCGATCGCTACCGAATGTCGTTCAACCAATCGATACGATGACTGGGGTGGCTGCAGGCCAAAGTCAGGCCATTCAAACCTGTGACGAATGCTGGGATGGAAAGCCAGCTACAGTGGGTTGTGAGAACTGCAACGGCAAATTTTGTGAGCACCATGGTACTGGCCATCCCATGACTAAATCTGGCAAAGGTCACACAGTGAAGGCGCTATCTGCATCCTCCACACAGTCAACAAACAGTGGCAGCAGCAGTGGCAGAGTGGTCCAGCATAGATGTGCTCTGCACACGAATGAAGTGCTGAAACAGTTTTGCTTGGATTGCAATCAGCTATTGTGTACGCAGTGCATACACACTGGAGCACACAGACATGATGAACACAAGGTGATGGATATTGCCAGTGCTGCACAAAACACTCGTGAAACACTTTCTACTAAGCTGAGCAGTTGTACATCAGAATGCGATGGTGTTGTCAGCAGTGCCGTAGAGACCGTTGAGAAGAACATTCGAATGGTACATAGTCAAACAGAGTATGCTTCAGAGAAGGTTTCTGGTTTCTTCAAGCCACTGATGGAGGCAGTGAAGAAACGAGAGGACTCTCTTCTTACCGAACTGGATGAGCTGAGGTTGAAGAAACTGGAACCTCTGGAGAAGCAACTACACCAGCTGCAGGAGTGTGTGTCAAAAGGAGAGAGTGCTGCCAATATCTTGCAGTCATTTGAGGACGATGTAGAGCTTCTCCGTGTTTGGTCCTGGGTGGATGCGTCCATCAGCAAGACCATGAAAACTGCCGAGGACGAGAAAGAGCCCTGTGTTACCAGTGGCATTGTGTTTGGCACGACGGACACCGCATCACTACTCAATGGCATTAGCAAGACGGGAGCAGTGTTGGATGTTGCTGATGGTACACTGAAGTGCCGCGACCAAGCCGGTGTCAATGACCATATCAGCATCTCTATAGAGCTACCAGAAAATGCTATCTCAAGCGTCATGGAGCAAGATCAACTGGATAACATTGGACTGGAGATATCGATATCCGATCCGGATGAGGACACAACCAACGTGTGCACTCAGCTTACACCTGCTTCTGGGCGCATACAGACTGAACGCACCCCGTTGCAAGCCGGTCACTACAACATCTCGGCCAGGATTGGATGTGTCCATCTGAAAGGTAGCCCACAGAAGCTGGTGGTGTCGGAAACTAACGTTACTTCAAAGACGTTTGATGGAAATCGCTGTGGCAGCCGGGTGAATATCACCAATGATGGTCACTCACTGAGTATGGGTGGCAGTGGTCGGTGTTGGTCATCAGCATGTACCACACCTATGGTCATTGGCACTGGCCGCAGTACACTGAAGGTGACGATTGACAAGACCGTCTGTGGTGACATCTTCCTCTCTGCCTGTTCATCCAGCAATCCAAAACTGGAACAATACCAACAGGACACGGCACAGTGTTTTGGTTGGTATGGCGCTAGGGCTGCTGGCAAGCACACCGGGAAAGCCCTTGGTCAACAGTGGCAAACTGGTGACATTATTCATCTCACAGTTGATCGTGATCGTCACACTCTCACCGGTAGACACGAGAGAACGGGTGCCACAGAAACCATCCCGAACGTCACCGGTAACCTGTACTGGATTGTGGCACTCTACCAGCCTGATGATAAAATCACGCTGGTGTAGGACATCAAATGGTGAACACTTCAGATTGCCGCTTGGCTATTATTATGATCAGGTAGTGTCATGACTTCTTAGATGTGTATTTCCCAGTATAAGATTTGATCTTTAACTAGTATGTAATACATCACTGGGGGGGGGGGGGGGGGGCACTACAGTCCTAACACGTACATGTATAGGGTAATACCCCCCACACACTACCCCCCCCCCCCCCACACACACATACACTACCCCCCCCCCCACACACACACACTACTCACCCCCCCCCCCCCACACACACACACACTACCCATACCCCGGTTTATGCATATAATAATCTATCCGCTGGGTGGATATTTTCACACCAGTTTTCATCAGTGTACTATTGACTGGAATTTTTGTCATTCTGTTGGAAGGCAAGGTGACAGGACGCATGTGCTGTGGCAATCATGTACAGCTGATATTACATGTACTGCTGTGATCAGACCTGCCTGCGACTTCTCACTGTTCATACCAAGTGCATGACTGTCCACTCATGGTAAGGGTGACAAGCTAGTCTGATTTGAATTCTTTTTACTTTACGTAGGAGCTAGCTTAATCTTCGTACCCTAAGATGCGCCATTATGTTTCCCTCCTTTTTGCGCCTAAGATGCGCCATTATGTTTCCCCCTTTTTTGCTACAAAAGGGTGAAGTTCACTATCTGTTAGCCCTTCTACATAGTCAACCTTCACTGACGAGATCCTGATGATCGAAACAGCTGCTGCCTGAAGGAGCAGAGTATCAACTGAAATGTCGTTTTGCTGATGGTGTGCTGTGGCAATGTGTTGAGATCGGCCGGAGAGCGCAGCGGTGTGGTGTGGTGGTTGATAAGAATCTGGACAAGGCCGAAGGCTGCTACTTACCCCTCTTGATTTTACGTAGTATAGTTTGTAGTAAGTAGAACAGGTGGAATCCCTGAACCTCAAAACGCCAAGAAAAAACTTCTTGTTATCCGGACGTTCTAATTATCCAAACATGAACCCACAACACAATAATATAATTATGTATGTCAAAATGCTCTCATGGTCATGCAGAGTTGCGCTATGGACCTTAGACACAGATTTCACAGACACTGAACTGACCGGCACAGCCCGCAGCCTGCTCATGCAAACCGAACTGACCAGTACAGTGAATCTCGACTTACACTTTGCTAACTTCGAATTATCAGCACAAATCCCACACATTTTCTATGTAGGTGGATTCTGTGGGACTTCTAATCAACTGGACATGTGCATTTCGAGGTTCGAATTATCAGATATTGTTATGTGGGTATCGTATCGATAGAAATCTGTCCTGGAAAAATGTCTAATTTTAAAAGCGTTATATTCGAAATAATTATCAGGATTCCACCTGTATAGTAGATAACGGTGTTTTGTTGAAAACATGTTGTTGCATGGTTGACAGCATGTTACAAGGCGGAGGACACCATGTTCGGAAACAGTGCCCTTACTACGACTATCCACGGTTGGCAGAGCCCTGGTCTTGTGACTATTTGAACCGTTTGGGTGTTAGCCCTGGTTCTGACCGTCATTGTACTAGGAAGTTAGTTGTTTGAGTCTTCTTGTTTTTGTTTTTTTTATATTTTTTGTTGTACTGTAAGTCGTGTATTCTTCGCTCGTTCTTGGTTGTCTATATACTGGACAGAAGTTGGAGAAATATAGAAAAGAGTATAAAAGAAAAATAAGAAGAACAATTACATCATTCAGGCCACCGTTTTACTGTACTATCACCCCCCCCCCCCCCCCCCGCCCTGCACACACACACTACCCCCCCCCCCCCCACACACACTATCCCCTCCCCCCACACACACACTACCCCCCCCCCCACCCATACACACACACACTACCACCCCCCCCCCCACACACACACACTATCCCCCCCCCCACACACACAGTGACACTACCCCTGGTCCAGAACACAGTCAACTCTGAGTCTCACTCAGTCTGAACGATGATTGCGCGCTTGTACAGTGCGGATCGGCTATAGGGTTGTCGGCTATAGTAATATACCTCTTATACTGATCATAATTCTCAAATAATAATAATTATTCATTTTCGTAAACCACCCCTTTCTATACATAGGATTGGATCGGCTATAATAATCGGTTATAGTAATAATTATATCGGCTATAATGATACGATTTCTTTGTCAAAATGATCTTATTGCATACATTTTTCATCGGCTATAGTGACAATCATAAAAAACTATACATCGTACATGGCGAGATCTGATCGCGGCAGCCAGGAAGCGCTGGTACGACTATGATATCCCTCAGATAGATATTGTTGATAATTATGTCGATTGAATGTGTTGAAGTGTTTCTCTTCCAAAAGAATACATAATCATTTTGTTGAGCACAGCATGCAACTCCTTGAAAACTCATGTCAAAAAGTCACGAAGTTTTTGTTTCCGCAGGAAGTAGCTCTGTACTGCACATATTGCACAGTCACATGCACAGCACGCTTCTGCACGTTGCACTGATTCGAATGACACCATACACGCATTTGTCAGGCATACCTAAGTATGCAAATCGCCTATAGTAATAACATCGCCAATATTATTATCGGCTATAGTGATATTTTCACGAAAACCAAACACCAACGCTATGAGCCGATCCGTACTGTATTGGTGAGGCCACTACCTGCGTAGTATAGTGTGTAAGTAATTATTATTAATAATACTCTCCTCTATCTCACGACTGTATCATGGAAAAAAGCCTGAAAACTGGACAGGAACCCCTAACCTAGGCAGCCCCAGGCTCCCCCACCCGCACTGCAGTGTTACTGTAGACTGTAGAAGCAAGACACAACACTGAGTTAGTTTGTGGGCAGCTGGAGAACGTGGAGATCAGGTCACAGAACATAAGAACTACAACTACATTGTAGACCAGCACACTACTACACCGACAGCCTGCTACTTTGATAATAGATACCTGCCAGAGACGCTACTGCAAGCACAGCATTCCTGTATTCATGATATTACAACACCAAAAAAAAACCATGATATGGCCGTCAAAACTTCCGCCAGTGCCATCTGGGCAAGTCGGGAATATACAGTATAAATTGAATAGAAATGACTTCAGAAAGTGGGGAAATCACTTCAGAAAGTGGGGAATCACTTGAAGACAAAATAAGACAACCGGCGGGTAGGGTCGATGTTCATCACACCAAGACTGGCATTAGAAGAGAAACAAGCAATAAAACCATGGTAAATCCATGATAAATAGAAATAGGTTTGATCGGTTTGCACCTTAAAGTTAGGGCACTGCTGTACTTGACAATTTGTGGAACAAAGATAAGACACGCTTCAAGCAGCGGCAAATAGATAAACATGACGATGCAGTTATGGAGTTTCCATCGGTAAAAAAAAAAGACTGGGTGGATAATTTACATGTACTTGTACCAAACGGAAAAACTACATTTGTAATGACAGCGAGTGTCTTGTAGACTGCTTGATCGGTGTGAGTATATAATAACGTTACCATGCAAAAATGTCCAGACAATCTCTCAATGTACAATCACCCCCACATCGCCACTACACATTTCTACCATAGCTTACTAGTCAGTTCCTCTTGCCGCACTGAATTCTGATCAGTGGAGCTTTTGCCGTACAATGTTGAACGCGACCGTTTGCTTAGTTCACACTCAGACCTCCTCTTCATCGCTACCATCCTGCAACGCATCGTCATCATCTTCCTCATCAAGAGCATCATCGAAATCATCGAGATCGTCACCAGCGCCAAATTCGCCGTCGACATCGTCCGCTTCATAGCTCGCCTCATCGACATCGCTGCTAGCTGCACATGCCTGCGCTTGCTGCTCTTCCTCGTCTTCCTCCTCCTCCTCATCATCATCATCTCCACGCTTTGCTCGGTTTTTGCTGCTGAGAACACGGTGGAAACAAACCACATAGTTACAATGTCAACGGACACTCGAATAATACCAACAGCTTTGTTCGTTTTTATTCACACAGTAGATCACAGGCCTGATGTCCGAGCTACCAAACAATCATATCTTGGACTCGGATGTAGTTCGATGTAGTTTCTCGGTCCTTTTCTTTTCTATAAATCATATCTTGGCATGCCGTCCATCCACACTAGGCGGCCAGTCTTCACCGACCCACCGAATCCAATCTGGCGTGCCGCAGGGCAGCATCCTCGGCCCCACCCTCTTCCTTCTGTACGTCAACGACGCAGAAGACCACCTGCCTGATGGGGCGAAGCTGGCTGTATACGCCGACGACACAACTCTCTACAAGTGCATCACCACCCGACTCAGACTGCCAGAAGAGACAGCAATCCTCCAGCAGGCAGTAGACTCACTGGCAGCATGGGGAAGCAGGTGGAGGATCAAGTTCGAGCCCACAAAGTCGCAGGCATTGACCATCAGCCACCACCGCTCGCCAACCCCCCCCCCCCCCCGAACACAATACGCTTCCAAGGAGCAGTCGTGCCAGAAGTAGAGGAGCTCAAGATTCTTGGCGTCACCTTCGACAGGCAGCTGGCATTCCGCAGCCATATCCGACAGCTTGCAGTACGCGGAGCTCAGCGGCTCGCCTTCCTCCGTAAGGCATCGGCTGTGCTAGACCCAAAGCACCGGGCAATCGTGTACCGTGGCTTTGTCCGCCCTGTGTTAGAGTATGGCATGCTGGTGTGGATGAGCGCAGCCCCCACCACCTTGGCCCGCCTCACTGCCATCCAGCATCGTGCCCTGCACATAATTGGAGATGGATCATACCTCCCGAGCCTCGACATTCGCCGTACCGTAGCAGGGCTCTGCTTTCTGTACAAGCTGCACTTTGTGGAGGGTCCGGAAATGGTGAAAGCCATTCTGCCACCATCAGCAGCCGCACCGCAATGCCGCATGTCTACTCGTGAGACAACCAGATCTGCAACACATCATCCATCACAACTCACCAGTATTCTTCCTCCTCAGTCACGAAACAACACGCTCCGCTCATTTCCCCACTCCCTCATCGCAACGTGGAATCAGCTACTACCTACCCTTCTGCAGTCCCCCCCCCCCTTCCCGCAGAGGTATGCACACGTTCAAGAAAAATGTCAACGACCACTTGCGGCTCAGCAAGTGGGAGTGGGCCACAGACAGGCTATGATATCTCCATCGCAGCCAACACAACAGCCTAATTATACTGACCGCACTCCAGCTCCCTTCAACCCCTCTTTGATCCCCTTCGGTCAGCCTTAAAATCCGATTATCAGTTCTCTTCATCTTCCTATGGTGCACTGCTTTTACTATTGTTTTGTCCTGTCCCAATCTCAAATTCTCCCCATTATCGTTTGCAAAGCCGGTGCTTCCCTCTTGGATGCACATGTTTCTTTTCTCCTACGTATCGGCGCACAGGAGTAACGATGATTCCAAGACCTTTGGTCGGAGGAGTTACTTTTGCCCCGCCCCCACTTCCATGCAATATGCCACCGCCCCCGCTGTGCAGCATCTGATGGTACTGTGGTATTCAGTAAAAAAATGTCCAGAGAAACTTAACTTATAAAGGGGCCATCCGTAAATCTAGATATTTATTTAGAAAAGAAAACTAGTCGTTTAGGGGGGAGGGGGTTTAGTGCCTGTTCGTTTCTCGAAAAATTTCGATGCACAGTTTGTATGTGTGGGCACGTCCAGAAAAGAAAAGAAAAAAATATCGATACTATGCATCGTTTGTATATGTTCGTTTCTGAGGGAGGGGGAGGGGGGTTGAAGAGAAACGACTAGTTTTCGTTTCTAAATAAATATCGGTATTTACGGATGGCCCCTAACTTATAAGTTATATCAATGATTTTTCACTGTACATGTGCAAAAAACTACTGGTAGTCAAAGTAGCACTTTCATCTCACCTGATGCCTTTCGCTCCAGCCTTCTTGTTCAGCTTTCTTCCAGCTGCCTTCCGCTCCGGTTCCTCTTCGTCGCTCTCCGGAGTGGCAAACGTCGCCGGAGGCACACGCCGTGCACTGGCCAGAACGTCATCGGCCCGCAATGCGGACGCACGGCCACCGGGATGGTCGAGCAAGAGCAACGCCTGGCAGAAAGCTTCGCCCATCTCTTTCAGGTGGTACGGCGAGAACTGCAAGCCCTGCAGAGCACATAAGACACAAGAACACAGCCAATATTATATGATCATGCCTTTCCTGAACATAAGCTCAGCCACTGAAACGGAATAATAGTACACCTTTACACTGTACAATAGTAATCGCACTGGCTTGTTTCTTTTCCGCCTGTATCCACTTGACGAGAAGCCATTCAAAGTGGATTGGATTGGATTTGGATTGGATTTTTATTTATAGTGGTGACTATAACAGACAATTGCCTAATAACAATAGACCCACTCGAGGGAAAGATGCAAAAATATATGAATAATTAATATAATAGACTATTGGATAGGTGATCATGTTCGCATTTTGCAAAGCTGAAAGTCAGAAGTACTAGCGTGAAAAAGCAAGGCATTGGGGTAACAGTTTCTTAAAACAGTGTGCATGGAAATCGTTGGAAATGGTATTTCTGACGAGCCGGAGGGTAGTCAGATCTTATACAGTCAGCGAGTGCAACAAAATGGCACAAGACTGACAAGGAGTTCTGAGGCGTTCAACCACCTGGCACCTAGCTCCCACACTTCTCCGAGGCGCAAACCAACGACCTTCCAACCTGGAAGGCTCACGTCAGGAAAGGTCCAAGAGGGGAAGGAAAGCGCAACGAAGAAGAGCACCAGCTACGTCCCACAGAAAGAAAGAATGCCGAAAGTTACTGGGTGAGGATGAAACTACTAAGACTCTTGGACATACCGGTCGCACTAGAACTCGACGACGCAAAGCCAAGTCGAAGGTTCGATGGACTTCTCGTGTACTCTGATTGGCTGTCGTGAGTCAGTCAAGTGTAAATTCAAGTTGGCGGAATAGCGCGAGTTCCAGTGTGGGGAACAAACCCTTTACTAACAAAGTATTGCCGAAGTCACAACCACTATTTCCTCCTTTTATCCATAATGGAATTGGCTCACCATCCGAGTTCAATATTCATATTATCTGTTCATCCCCGCACTGTACTCTAGTTCATCTCTGTCTCTGTCTGTCTCCCTCTCTCCCTCTCTCCCTCCCTCTCTCTCCCTCCCTCCCTCTCTCTCCCTCCCTCCCTCTCTCTCCCTCTCCCTCTCCATCTCTCTCTCTCTCTCTCTCTCTCTCTCTCTCTCTCTCTCTCTCTCTCTCTCTCTCTCACCTTGTACTGTCCCTGGTCAGCACCACAATACGTACTCTCCATAGTGTAGCACGCCACAATGCCCAGCTCTCGCCATCCTACAACACGTGCGGTGGCCTCCTTGGATTTATCCACATCAAACGTGCAGTTTTTCCGCGCAAACGCGGGCGCTACGGACGCCAGCAGGTTGGGAAAGACCTGGTGAGGATAAGAAACAAGCGACAACAATAACAGAAAGAAAGCATACGTCGGAGTGCAATCTAGAAAGTTGCAAGTGTGCAAGTACACATCGTATATAATATGTCGCTTGTTATCGGCTGGACACACTGGGAACCGGAGCTGCCTACTTCTGTGTAACTATCTGCTTGCCTCACACAGTACGTATACTGGTGTTACAGAATCCACTCTTAACTGTGACTGCAGATGCGAGCCCCAATTGCTGCATTGGCGAGCACAAGGACCCACAGCGAATGTGTGAAATTTGACAATTAGCTGGACTACTGTAATTTCACAAGTTTTCGGTGTACTTTTATTTTCGGTACTTTCGGTGCATCTGTTTCATACCTAAAATTTCAATACACCGAACAAGCACTAACACACATAAACCAATAGAGAACTGCTTCCCCGTACCTAAAATTTCTGTTCACTAAACCTGGCCTTCCCCCTCATACCAAAAATATTGAGCACCGCAAATTTCTGAAATTAGACTACACCATACTTCGAAGTAGCTTAGTGGTACCGCATCGCTGGCCATGAGCGAGGGTTCCTGGTTCGAGTCCTGGTGGTGACAATCAATTTTTTCCTTCTTCAGGCGTTTCCTGTTTGCAACTCCCTCAAACTATTAATGAATAGATCATGTGGAAGGTTAACATTTGCAATAACCGACAAAACAGCCCTATTGCTGAGAGTTTGGCATCACTTCTCAGCCTTCCCATGGTATCTCCTACTCAGCCCTGCTGAGCACTTTCCGGGGCAAACCATTCCATGCACAGCGGGTCAGCTGCGGATAATATAGGGCTTGAAAGTGATGACGTCAAAAACGGCCAGGGAGTACTACGTTGACATCAGATTTCTATTTTGGATCCACTAAGGTGTGACTTTGCTATTGCCTCAGTATGTGGGTGCATAGCAACCCACTCATGTCGTATGCAGGGGTGACTTTTACTTCGCCACCAGTTGTAACCCCGCCCCCAGTAGCCAAATCAGTCAGTTTCACTGGTTACATCACCTTGCTGAGAGTAAGACGGCTTGAAATGTGCTTGGATCCATACAAAAACTGGATCCAATTTTTGAATTTTTGAAATTGTTGCTATGCTGTGACGTAGCACTTTCAAGCCCTATTCGTACCTCCTCCTCCCGTCTGTCCAGTTGATCTAGGTGGTCGAGACAGCCAAAGGTGAAGATGTTCTTGCGACGGGAGTGCCCGTGAAGGTCACAGAATAGCTGCAGCAGTCAACATCACAAAAAGAAGTACAGTACTAGATATGCCCACACGAGGACCAAGTGTGACACATGCAGCATGCACGCACTAGATCATCTACTACTGGACGTCACCTTCAATACTATTAGAGCGACGATAGGTCGGAAAGCCTTGAGGACGTTCAGCAATTTTCCATGGCCAGCAATCAAGGACATCTGAGAGTTGTAATTTTTGTACTCCTCCGAGGTGTGATTTTTGGCGTGCTGGGCCAAGCACAAGGAAGCCATCTGCAAAAACTGCAGAAAATGGTTGTTGTTTGATCCTTTGGTGTAATCTTTGTTTCTAGTCGAAGCTAGTTGCTGTTTGGAGCAGAAACGCTGAAATTGACTATTTTCTGTATGTACTCATACATGTACTCATGTACTCAGGCATGCAGTCTCACTCGTATTCTAGCTATATTTCTGGAATGGATGCTGCTCTGCGCCCCTTGGTGAACATTTCCTGCGCTCGTGGAGCAGCTGAAAAGGACCACTGGTATGTCTGGTTCCTGGTTTGAAAGTGGAGAGTCGACTTTTGTGCCTTGAAAAAGGAGTAGAGAGCGATACAGGTACGTCTGTGGCTGATTTTTGAGTGCTCCTCGTACATTTTTGATCGTGATAGAAATTCTCAGACCAAAGTCAGACCAAAGATGATGGTCGTACAGTTTTCTTGTGAATTTTTTAGTTGTTTCATCTCGTATCTATGTCAGTATCGTGATGGTGAAGTGGAGAGGGTGATTTTCTTCCTCTAGGCTTCGTTCGGCCGACTTTGCTTCGTCCTCGTTGAAAAGTGATCCTGAAAAAAAGGTCGATTCGCAAAATTATGTTGATTTTCAATGTACGAGATGACATGCGATTGCTGGCTATGTTCACTTTTCAGGACCGCACGAAATGATGCCTTTCTAAGACTCTGGCACTTCCTCCACACATAAATATGCTACCACTCTTGAGTGCAGACTGAGCGGTTAGACAAAAGATAAAGCCCCCCCCCTTCCCATACCCCCAAATATAAATAGCTACTGTACACACAACACCAAGTTGGGTAAACCAAAAATTGCCAAGTTGAAAACTGGAGAAATTCATCGACTGACAACGATTTGACCATTAACGGCCCAGTGTACTGCATAGTACATTTGCACCTACCCTGGCATTGCTGCCCGTAGCGAAAAGGTACTGTAGCAGGCATTTGGTGTGGTAGATCGTCGGGTGGCGCACTGGACACGGTGTGATCCACTGGCGGTTCAGATCATTGCCGGACAGGCTGCACCGGTGGCTACCACAACAGTACCAAGGAACAGTGCAGAGAAAAAAGTATTACAAGTACTTCAGCCGCTCTCTGTGCTGGATCAATTCGAAAATGCTCCAATTTCTCTGTACAGGTCATCTGGAAATAGAATGGGAATACGTGCGGCACAGCCAAATGTGCAGAGCAGCGGGCCCAGTACCCCAAAATGAACACAACCTGGGTTTGAGCCCACACGAGAACAAAGCTCAATGATTTCAGAGAATACTGTAGTTGGGTGAGGTGGGGATGGAGTTTCATTAAAAGTTTTAAAAAACCCACTTCAAAGCCTGTTTGCCGAAAAGCGGCACTACTATCCAGTGGGGCCAACAACCCAAGTATTAGAGGTACACTTCAGTGCAAGACACAAGACACTGCCGGCATTGTAGCATGCCGAGCTGATTGAAGTGGACTGCACCAAGCATGACAGAACAGGACCGACACCTCCGATGATAAAGCCTCCACTGATAAAGGCCCTGCCAGCTTTCAAAATATACCCGAGTGTTGCAATGATCCGGCAGTGGCTCAGTTGAACTTACTGCCCATTCACAACGCCATCCGGGTTTAGCATAGGCACAACTTTGAAGATGTAGCGTTCGCGCAGCTTCACCGCCAGCGGATGTGCACTCACTAGGAACTGCAAGATACCTGGATGGGCAAGAAAGCAACAGCAATGCATCCAGTCTTGAAATTTTCTTTCCACCACAGTGTACAGAGGGAGCTGAGAAGTGCAGCCAGCCAAAGGGACTATGCCTACCTCAAAGACGTCCTCAGTTTTAAGGTCTCAATGTGTGAGCTTACATATTCACAGGATTCTGCGGAGGATTCTGCGGGGATACTCCAAGCGATACTCGAAGGGATTCGCCAAGGGATTCTCCAAGGGGTTCTCCAAGGGAGTGTTGAAATGTGCTCTAATCACAGTCGTGGTCGTACCCAAATCTCAGTTTCCTCTCGGATAGGTTATACATAGTAACTTTACTAAAAGTTCTCTCAAGAGTACATTTCGGTCTTGTTTCGGTACACACTCAGCCTCGAGACATCGAGAGAAGTGAGGTGGAATGTGGTTGCACTACGGTACATGGCTTCGAGTCCAGCCTGAGCATTGAAATTGAAAGTCGAGTGGACAAGTTCAAGACTCAATCATCACAACGGCAAACTAGTAAGATTCCTTACCTTCCATCACCCAGCTACTGTTGCTCTCTCCGGGGTGAACACGGCTAGAGATGACGATGTACTGTTTGCCGCTGTGGTTGCTAGCTGACGCCTCATTCTTCTCTGCCGGGAAGAAAGACACAGGAGCAAAGAGAGCCTTCCACAAGTAACCAATGGCATTCCCTTAGACTTTGAGACTAGCTAAAACCAAGCATTCTACGGTTACGCAATTGTCCATAGTCAGTACTTCTGGGCCCAAAGTAATGTACACCTCCATTTTCAATTACGACCGCACTGGTGGGATTGTCCAGGAACTTTCTGTTCTACTAAACTCAACAATCAACTTGAGGACATTGATTATCTCTTCCCCAGCGCCTTGCACGGAGTCCAGCCGATCCGGCCATGACCAAATACAAGTCGACCCACCGAATTCATGCCAAATGGGAGCTTTCGTCACTAATGGTCATTTCTGGTCTAGTATCTCATTTGGCGGGATCACGTGAAATCCTAAGGCTACAGCCCAGTCCTCGCTGCTGCCTTCGCCTCCCAACTGAAGTCAGTACGCTAAACCCGGGCACAAGCAACACCAGTGGCAAAGCGCATCACAATCACCACACACACACACACACTGTACTGTACTGTACTTGCTCACTGCCAAAACTGGTCACGTGGGTCTCCCCGGGAGAGGGGAGAGAGACTCAAAAGGAATCTTGGAAAGATGACTCAATTGGCCATTGAACCACCCAACGGCCGACACCCCCTGAAATCCCCAAACTAGGGTGGACTTGAAATGATCCCACTTATGGGCTCACCACACCTCAGTAAGTGGGTGAGGACAAGGTGCAGAAAAAAGGATTGACGGCATCAGGGTATCCGTCCCGGGATCCAACTGCAGGTACCCCTGCCCCCAGTGAAGGTAATACTTGGTACTAGTGTGGGTGGCTAAATCAGAGTGGATCTGATATAAGCTTCACTAGCACCATTGATTACACAAGAGTTAATCTAGCCAGAAGCAGTCCATGATTAACAGGTATGTATACTTCAAATAGAAAGTAAATGAACCCTGAAACCAACAAAGGTGGTAGCTACAACAATACACCTTCAAGCAGCCGAGCCCGTTGGCAACAGGCCCAACACTATCTGGCATAAGTGTACCCACCAACCAAACTAGCTGGCACACACACACACACACACTTGTACTTGCTCACTGCCAAAACTGGTCACGTGGGTCTCCCCGGGAGAGGGGAGAGAGACTCAAAAGGAATCTTGGAAAGATGACTCAATTGGCCATTGAACCACCCAACGGCCGACACCCCCTGAAATCTCCAAACTGGGGTGGACTTGAAATGATCCCACTTATGGGCTCACCACACCTCAGTAAGTGGGTGAGGACAAGGTCCAGAAAAAGGATTGACGGCATCAGGGTATCCGTCCTGGGATCCAACTGCAGTTACCCCTGCCCCCAGTGAAGGTAATACTTGCTCCTAGTGTGGGTGGTTAAATCAGAGTGGATCTGATCTAAGCGTCACTAGCATCATTGACACACACACACACACACACACACACACACACTTCAAGTATGTGAAGTAATAAAACAGCAGCAGCAGCACACACAGCAGAAACTGAGTGCCGCAGAAACGCACTACACAGCGGACAACTGACCTGGATTGGGATTTGAGTCCTCGGTGGCAGCTAAATCTGGTGATCCGATTGTCAGTAGATGGCAATCGTTTCCGGTGAGAGTCTTGCACAATAACTGGCGACGTAAATATACATCCTCTTCATCCACGTGCAGGCTGGACAAGACCCTCTAGGAAACACGTGATATGACGAGACACAACACAGTCACAGTGTAAACAACAGATCTCCCCTATAGCAGAGCAGGACCATCGGCACTACCAGCTAGGGCCTGTAAGCACGTAGCACTGACCCGCACAACCCACCATCTGAACGTCACACTGAGCACTGGAATCATACCGTGAAGGTAGTTTCTTTTCCTTGCTGACCAGGAGCACATGTACGGTGCGAAGTCAGGATGGACATGCGCCGAGCAACCCGATACAGCCTGCCGGCTGCCGGCAAGGTCCAAGCAATGAATCGCTCATCTTTGTTCTGTTTACGTCCCACATAAGTCACCTCGTGTATTTATTATTTTATCGATGCAGGCGTTGTATTACAACTCACTTCCTGTCTTCGTGGATTGGCTCAATGCTAACTAGGGCAATGATGTGCTGAAAAGGAACATCTAACCCCACATGAACGGACAGATTGCCAGCTATAAGTCTTTGTCCATAGTTGCCACACAACGTCGCTTTAGTAGTCTTCAACAGCCATAGGTGGACTGTTTTCAACAGCATCCGAGCACAATGCCCCTTTTCACCCCCCCCCCCTCTCCTCCCCCTTTTCACCCCCGCACCCTCCCCCTTTTCACCCCCTCCCCCTCCCCCCCCCCACCCTCCCTCCCCCACCAAACATATCAACACATGCCTCTGCAAACATAATGCTTGCCTCACAGGCATCCACATTTACCTGCAGTCGTGTGTAGGTGTACGGGTAGTGGTACGCCAGGTAGCAGATGTCGCCAGCGTTCGGAAACGTAACGGAAAACGACAGCGTGTAGAAGGTTTTGGCCGTGGACAGGAGCCGGTCATTACGCTGCGCCGCCGGCTCGGAGCATCGGCATACGTGGTTGCTATGATACGCGATGTCTGTGCCAACTCTCTTCCACTGAAGGAAGGCATCTTCATCGCTGGCTTGCTCAGGAGCATCTTCTAATGCAGCAACACATGCAGAGAAGAAGCATAGGATGCATAATACATTTAAGGGTCAGGTGAGACTCGGCCAGACTGCATTTTACGCATCCGAAGGATAGCCACTACCCTCGAGGGTTAAGGCGCAGACAGAGCTGATAAAATGGTGGAAGTGACTGAGTTCAGACCCATAACAAAGTGGTCACGGACCGAAAATCCCATTCGCGGCAATCGGGGAAATCCTTTGGTTTCCAAGCATGCAGGCAGGCATGGCGGGATAGTCTAAGACCATGACCGAGAAACAGAGGCTCCCGTGCTCATGTCATGCTTCTACTGTAAAACCTGTACCTAAAGACCACCGTGACTAGCGACCAGCCTGTACTACAGTAAAACCTGTAACTAAAGACCACCGTGACTAGCGACCAGCCTGGTACTACAGTAGAATGATGCGACATGCAATTATTTGGCCAAAACTATTGTTGGCGGCACTGTGCACTGTGCATTGCACTACGCACTGTACCAGCTCGGGACGGTGTCAGGCAACATGTAGTACCCACCTTACTCCCAGGCTACTCCCAGGCTGTGCTGGTATTGTGCCGCTTCGGCACAAGGTGCAATGCACCCATTTAATGTGTTTGCCTACGCTGTAGGCTGCACTCAGCGCGTGATTCTCATTGGTGGATTTTATGTTTGACCGCATGGGAGTTTTGTTGTTTCAGTTAAGTATTTATGGTGAACGGCTGAGCCATCTGAACTGCACAAAATAGTTCATACAACTGGAGCATACCACAACGATTCTTGGTCTTGCGACATAGATAGGCATTTGGTACAACACTATGTATGATTTACTGCACGAGTACAAACGAGTACAAGGGCAATACCGGCTGATACATGACCGAACGGCGCCAGCCGTGAGGTCATGTATCAAGCCGGTATTGCCCGTGTACGAGTGCGTACGAGGCGCAGTAAATCAATTATTGCATGCTTGACCCAAACATTCCAGAAAATGGAGAGAAACCTTTCCGACTTTCTCAGTCTCCCGACACACTTGTTCAGTGGTAAACATCGTTTGTGGTTTTGAAATTCTCTATTACTTTACGATATCGATGGTGTGGTTGTTCGTGATTGAGCACTGCATGTAGAAAGTCCTGGAATAGGAACTGAAACTGGGATGGGCTCCACAACTTCGTCTCGAACGCATTCAGTTCGTCAAGTTCGTCGGCTGCTCACCAACGCATCGATGTCAAGGTTGCATTCACCTGCTGAGGCGGCTGGTTCATGTGGCTGGAACAAGTAAGTTATTGTCAGCTCAGTTACATGCGCGCGCGTGTGGTCTGTCATTCTCGTGCTTTGTAGTTTGTAGTCAGATCAAGTTAGTTGCTGTTTTGTGTTTCAAATTTGAAACTCCGAACTGTAGCAACTTGATCTGATCACGAACCACAAAGTACAAGAATGACAGTCCGCATGCGCGTACATGTAACTGAGCGGGCAATACCGAGAAATACAGACCGCTGAGCAAGAGCGCTCATTGGCTGTAGTACAGGCAACCCTCACGTGACATGCAATAAATTCATTTACTTCATCAGAACAATTTCTCAATGAGACCAGTTGGGGCATATAGCTCAGTGGTAGAGCATTCGACTGCAGATCGAGAGGTCCTTGGTTCAACTCCGAGTGTGCCCTAGGTATTTTTTTGTGCGTGTGTTTTTTTTCTTCTTCGCATTTTTGTTACTTTTTGCAATGCCGTCAAATTGTGTCTTGTTTCAGACTCTTCTGACTACGTACAACAGCAAGTGAAGCCAAAGCCAATCTGGTTTGGGGTCCAGTGGCCCTCTGTGACAGGTGGTCAAGGCATTAGAGACGATCCACTGTTCTTGTGACAATCCAAAGGTGGAGGCAGGGAACTATGGATGTCATTTGAAATTGATACAATGTTTTCAAGTTCAAATCCAATTCATGATGAACATGGTGGAAGTGTCTCAACTCTGCTTCAGGTGCATGTGCAAGAGTGGGTGCAAGTTTACATGTATGTGGACATGTCTACACGTGTATCAGTTGCGTCAGGCGAAATAGCACGTCATAGTACATTTGACTCGGATCAGCGGGAAGAAGATGACGACGTCCACTAATATAGTATCTGTGCACACGAATCTGCTGTGGGTGTTACTCTGTGTGTCAGCTATGGCATCATCGCCTGTGGTTCCATGCCTAGCATGTACGTCTGAACCATCCTGCAAAGTTTGAATGACGTAGGTTGAGCGATCGCTCCGCGAAACATACTTTTTGAAATTCTCTTCATAGTATATCTTCCACCACTGAAATTTCGAATTTCTTCGAATTTTTTGCTGAGAGGGGTGGCTTGCAACCTCGATATGGCTTGTTCCAGGCTTGCTTTGGAGCCATCGCCTGTTGAAACAGTGGCAGGAAGCTGCCCTGCAACTGTTCCAACAGGAAATTAATCGATCCGAGAAAGCGCGAGTCCGCGAATCTCGGTTGAATATTGAGTATTTCAAGCCTTTTCACGACGAAGATGGAGTTCTTTTTGGAGATGGACGTCGCGGCAAAGGACATGGTCTCCGACTTCTGGCGTCTGGTGAAGCCAGGGATCATTTGTCCAGTCAGGTCGGCAGCCTAACCGTCGGTAAGCTTGTGTTTGGATCCCGTTCTGCTCGATGTGGTAGATCAAAAACAATTTGATATCGCACAAATTGATCTCAGCATCGTGCGTACGGTATTTTATATTCAGAAAATCCCAAAGTGTCTCTGTGTGGCCGTCCTATGCCACGAGAAACTCCAATCAGGCTCCTATGTCCTCTGCCTTCATGATTGAATGTCCACTTTGTTCGAACAACGAACACAACAATCGAGGACGGCTTTGCAATGAAAAATACAGCTATACTGGAGCTGAAAAAAAGAAGAAAAAAACGTGCTCAGGATGAGACTCGAGTACACGCATACTCTCCCAGCAGGTGAAACGCAAATTTTTGTGAAAAATGCGTGTCGCCGACTGACCAGTAATTTCGCCTGACGGACTCACCTGGTCTACTGTTGAGTTCAGATGCAGCACAACCGCCACCAGCTGATGCTGCTGCATTCATACAGCGAGCCCGGAAGTCCAGCCAGGAGAACATGACGGGCTGCATACCTGAACACGTGCAGTGCAGTCACATAATGCGGGCATGCACACACACACACACACACACACGTGGACACACACGTTCACACACACACACACACACACACACACACACACACACACACGTGTACTCACACGTGCGCACACGCACATGCACACACACACGTGCACACACATGCCCACATACATATATACATACATGTGTCAACAAACAATGGATCACTCGTAGTGTTTTGCTACTCTGAGTTTCATGCACTGTGTGCAATCATCAGGCAAACAACATCCAATGCAGACTGGTCACAGCATAATGGGAATTTAAGGTAGACCTCTGTCGTGCAATCTTTGGGCTAACTTGGGAATTGAGAATTGAGCGAATTGCAGTTGAGCACTGGGTGCTAGACACCTGTAGCATAGGTTGCTGCCTTTGTGGATCCAGTGTCTATTGGCCTGTACAGAGACGATGATCTTGCCACACTGAAAAGTGTGTCGGGAAGCGCTGCAGACCGCAAAAGGAAGGACATTGTCAGCGTGTTCAAGTCCTTTGGCCTGAGAATCACAATTGACACCCACATCGAGAGAAAAACCTCCTCGACGTAATGCTAGACCTAACGACCGGAACATATGAGCCATACAGGAAACCCGGCGACACTCCTCTTCACCTCCACGTGGCCTTCAACCACCCGCCGACAATTATCAAGAACCTACCGAAGTCAATTAACAAGCATCAATCTCGGCTAGTGAGGAAATATTTGACGAGGCAAAGCCAATCCACGTGGCCACACTTTCCAAGAGTGGATTCCTGCCGGCCATGCAATACCATGCTGATGATGGTAAAGACAAGACACAGGCTGAAGAGAAGAAAATAAAGAAGAGAAAGAGAAACATCTTGTGGTTTAACCCGCCATACAGAAAGAAGGTCAAGACCAATGGTGGGGCCGTCCTCTTGAAGCTCATCAAGCGGCATTTCCAGGCAGGTTCCCCTCTGGCCAAGATCTTCAATAAGAACACAATCAAGATAAGCTACAGCTGCCTCTCAAACGTCGCCTCCATCATCAAGGGACACAACCAAGCCAAGCTACACACAACCCCTCCAGAAAAGGCCATGTTACTGCCGTGTAACTGCCGCGACAAGGTAAACTGTCCGCTGCGGGGAGCATGTCACACCGACTGTGTTGTTTATAGCAACCGTGGGCGGCACTAATGGCCCCAAGTACTACATTGGGTCGGCTGAAACGCCCTTCAAGTTTCGTCACTCTCACCACGAGGCATAATTGCGGGACGACAAATACCGAAACTCCACCGAGCTGTCAAGTTACGTTTGGTCTCTCCTAAGCAAGAGTGAAGAGTACAACATTTCATGGAAGATCACGTGCAGGGCAAAGTCGTACAGTCCAACAGCCAAGCGCTGTGACCTTTGTTTAGCAGAAAAGTTTGAAATCATCACGGACGACAAAACGACCCTCCTCAACACAAGGTGTGATCTCGTCGCCAAATGCCGCCACAGCACTGAATACCAGCTGAGCAAGTGTGCAGGTGTTACTTAGCCAAATAGCACGCACTGGCTCTGCTGTAGTACAGGCATCCAGCAGGCACCTGAGTTCTCGCACCACCTAAAAGGCTAGTGCAGCCATCGCACCTAACTGTAACTCCTCTGATTTCACTGGCTCTGCTGTAGGACAGGCATCCGGCACCCAGGGCCTTACCAGTTGCACACACTGCCTCCACTATCCTACAGGCATCTAGCACTCAGTGCTCAACTGCAATTAATGCCATTCGTAATCCCAAGTTGGCCCAAAGATTGCACACAGAGGTCCCGCTAAGCCTTACACTTGTTTCCGCCTGTATCTACCTCAGCATAGGAGCGTCTGGATACCTTCCATCGCCTGCAACTCCTGGGTATCCACTGGCTGCAAGTAATTACGACCAGAGCTCTGTATGACAGATGCCACGCGGAACCCATCAGTGCCCTCATGCAGGGATCCTTATGGGTCCTGTTTGGGCACATCCTCAGACTTCCTCGAGACACGCCTGGCGCCCTGGCTACGCGGAGCTAGTTCACCTGTGTGGACAAGGTATGGCGAGGACGGCCACGGACAACCATCGTGTCCATGCTATCGGCGGGTCTAGCGTCAGCAGGACTGAGGAGCCTGAGAAACTTGGCAACCCTAGAGCACCTGTGGGCCATCGCCGCGGACAGGCTTGCGTGGCGTGAGCTGTGCCAGGATGTGCATAAGGCGAAGTAAATGACGGACGGAACACAGACATTGAACAGATCCCGTGCATTCAGCACGTATCATCGAACATGAGTCACATACCTATCGCCGTTGTCTGCTATCTTAATTGTTTTAATAGAAAAGAAAAAGGACCAAGGAACTATATGTTACGCTATACCGTAGAATCCCGCGCATAAGCCCAGGGTTTGTTCGAACATCACAAAGCTTCGTCGTACAAGTCCATGGGCCTAGGTCATACCAAGAGTCCATAAATTATGGACTCTTGGTCGTACCATGTACATGTAGGTAGTACCAAGAGTACATGTTTTTTGTTTTTGTTTTTTTACATTTCAACACAATAATCGGTTGTTTTTGTTTGCACAGTGGCTTTCAGCAATGTACTTCTCACTTCCTTGGTAGATCTACTTTTCAATAGCACAATGTTGGTGTCAGCGTATAGCCCATACCCGCGTATAAGCCCATGTTCTCGTATAAGCCCACCGAAATGTCCTTGTGAAACAGATAAGCCCATGGGCTTACCCCCGGGATTCTACGGTTTGTCCACTAACACCACCAGTTATTAAACATCAGCTCATTTAGTAACTGGTGGTGCTAGTGGACATTATGGCGTAACTTGTAGTTCCTTGGCCCTTTTTCTTTTCCATTATTTTTTCTTTTCTTTTTTCCCCGAATATATCCTGTGCATTCAGCACCAGGGCGCGAAATAACGGTCGGACATCGGACAATTTCCGACCGTTTACGGTCAGTTCCCGCATGTTTTGTACACATCCGGACAAAGTGTCCGCGCACTTTTTTTGCAAATTACAAAAAAGAAAAGGCACATCAATCCTTTGCCTCATAGTCATTAGTGATGTCATCTGGCAAGAGAAAGCCAAGCACTGCTTATGCGGGTGCTCCTCTTGGAAAGAAGCCCAGAGGAGTCAAGAGGACCACTTGTGACAAGTGGGTCGCCGAGTATGATAGGGAGCTTTCAACTTCTGTTTGGCTGAGCTATGAGCGCAGTCCTTCAGATCGTAGCGTTGTCGAAAATTTGAAGTGTAAGATGTGTTCCAGTTTTGTTGATAAAATTCGCAGCAGCAAGAATGTTTCTGACTCCTTCGTCGTGATACCATTTCGATGGTATTAATTCTACACTGAACATTGTGTGATTTGATGTGAAAATTTGCGTGTCCGGACATGTCCGGCCATTTCTGCAACTGGCAGGACATTGTGTCAGAGCACATTTTAATCCTTAGCGCATGCCCTGAGCACTCATCATCGAATAATGAGTTATGTGCATATCGCTGTTGTCTGCTATCTTATATTTTTTCTCTTTTCTTCTCTGCCCGCTCTGTCTGTCTTCTGGCACATGCGAATATGTGGACTTACCGTTGCCATAAGCGCGGACGTGTGAATAATGATAAATAGTCTACCTTAAAAACTCCATTGGATATTGTTTGCCTGATGATTGCACACAGTCCATGAAACTCAGAGTAGCAAAACACTAAGAGTGATCCATTGTTTGTTGACATGTGTCATTGCCCCATCCAAGAAATTGGATGTTGAGTACTTTTTCTGCAGCTGCAGACATAGTCTTATTATTAGAGAGGTTGCACACAACGAAAATTCGTAGCGCCGTAACGAATATTTTTTAACGAAAAAAGCTAGCGAATATTCGTAAACCGTGAGGTTGCGCACAACGCGTGAACGTTTTCGTAGTGGGTCGATGCGGCGGCCGCGCGGGTACGAAGACTCGAAGAGTCAAGACAGGGAGTTGTAAAATATCAGTATTTTAGTACTCCAGGTAACGAAAAATATTTTCGTAGATCTGCTCTGTTTCGGTCACGTTTGGACGGATCTTCGGAGCAACTTTCGTAACTCGAACCCGGACGGTCGAAATCTAACGAATTTTCGTTGTGCGCAACCTCTCTACTACCTATAGTCTTAATGAGTATATAGAGACATAATACACACATGTATACACAAACACATGCATACTCACACGTGAGTGAATGAGAATGAAAATACAGATGTGTGTGTGTGTGTGTGTGTCGTGTGTGTGTGTGCCGTTATCATCGGAAAACGAACTCTTTATAAATCGACAACACACAGCATTGCGTTGACACTGGCATCACAGTATACATCTTCATTGAGTATCTTGTTAGTGCCCAGAGTGTCATTGAGGGCGTTAGCTCTGGATTGGCTCTCATTGCTACGGTGAAGGAGCGGGAAATACGAATAGTGGTGGTTTAGCGTGTGCGCTAAGCCCTGTTAACGAACGTGGAACATCTACCACTCATACCTAGTCTGATGATCATGCATCTGATTATGATGTCATTGCTATACATGCGCATGCGCAGCGAGCGCCACTCTTCCACGCGTGCTTTCCAAATCTTGCTTTGCAGAAAACGCCTTTGTCACTTCTGTTTTCCGACGACTTGACTGTTCACTGGTTTGTCCGTCAATTGTCAATTTTCCCTTCCCTCCCAACCCCATTCGACTGGGGATCACTATCTCTCCGTCACTGTCACCATAATTTCCTCAATCACATTGTCAGTACAACTCTTGTCAATATACTTATATCGGGTGAGGGCAGTCTATCTCCGCAGCTGGCTCATTTCAATCACTACCGGTCGCAGCTCCTGCCCACGGCAGGCCGGCCGTCTCTCGTTCACACTCTGTGTGCTCCAGGTCACAGCTCCTGCGCAGAGCAGGCCGACCTGTCTGTCTGTCTGTCTGTCTGTCTGTCTGTCTGTCTGTCTGTCTGTCTGTCTGTCTGTCTGTCTGTCTCTCTCTCTCTCACACACACACACACACACACACACACACACACACACACACACACACACACTATGTATGCACCGCATGGCCAGCAATCGAGGACATCTGAGAGTTGTAATTTTTGTACTCCTCCAAGGTGTGATTTTTGGCGTGCTGGGCCAAGCACAAGGAAGCCATCTGCAAAAAAACTGCAGAAAATGGTTGTTGTTTGATCCTTTGGTGTAATCTTTGTTTCTAGTCGAAGCTAGTTGCTGTTTGGAGCAGAAACGCTGAAATTGACTATTTTCTGCATGTACTCATACATGTACTCATGTACTCAGGCATGCAGTCTCACTCGTATTTTAGCTCTTTTTCTGGAATGGATGCTGCTCTGCGCCCCTTGGTGAACATTTCCTGCGCTCGTGGAGCAGCTGAAAAGGACCACTGGTATGTCTGGTTCCTGGTTTGAAAGTGGAGAGTCGACTTTTGTGCCTTGAAAAAGGAGTAGAGAGCGATAGAGGTACGTCTGTTGCTTATTTTTGAGTGCTCCTCGTACATTTTTGATCGTGATAGAAATTCTCAGACCAAAGTCAGACCAAAGTCAGCGCGATGATGGTCGTACAGTTTTCTTGTGGATTTTTTAGTTGTTTCATCTCGTATCTATGTCAGTATCGTGATGGTGAAGTGGAGAGGGTGATTTTCTTCCTCTAGGCTTCGTTCGGCCGACTTTGCTTCGTCCTCGTTGAAAAGTGATCCTGAAAAAAAGGTCGATTCGAAAAATTATGTTGATTTTCAATGTACGTGATGACATGCCATTGCTGGCTATGGGGTCACAGCTCCTGCGCAGAGCAGGCCGACCTGCCTTTCTCATGCACGCCAGCTGCTCCGCCCAATATCCCTGATATGCCAACCAGAAAACAATGTGTTCTGAGCCGGGTTCATGCCCGTATGTGGAGAGTGTGCTTTAATGAGTATTGTACGGTCTTAGTCTAAATACAGCTATTACAACTCCCAGCAGTGTCTTACCTGCAGTAAACTGGCTCTTAGTCTTCTCGCAGTTGACAATGTTGAATCGGTACTTGACGTCAGGGAGCATGCCGCTGACGGAGAAGTAGAACCACTGGTGGTGATGGTCGGTGTTGACGTCAGCGTTCAGCACCAAGTCATACTCAGTGTCACGCACCTGCCAGCATGTGTTCAGCATCATAGCCCACACCGGAGCGGGAATAATTAAATTCAGGTAAGGCAAAAGAAGAAGAAGAAAATAAACGTTTAATAACGGAATTGGTTCAGATTTGTAGTGAGACTGGAATGGGTGTGTCCACCCAAACTTCTTTTCTAATATGAAGCTGTAGGAAGCCTCAAGACTTCTTTTGCAATGGCAAGCAGCAGTCAATTTCTAACAATATGTCCAGCAGGTGTTAAACAGAGATCTCTTATTGCATTCATCTTGCCATAGTGAGATTGGCGCTCATCTCCCCTCCCTCGTCGCCTTTGATTCCCCACTCCAGGCAAGGCACCCCATACTGAATGGGAACCGGCCCCATAGGTGGAAGTTATTTATCACCTTTGCAAAAACTGCGAATAGAACCAGAACACTTACACAGCCATTTCTCTAGCCATTTTGTTTTTTTAACCACTCAACCCTACATCTCCCCGGTATCATTGCGGGCGTCAAGATCCGTTTTATCGCCAGTTTGATTCTACAGTGACAAAATCATCTACAAAAAGAACACCTTGAATAGTTGCATGTATGTTCCTTTACCCAAACACGTCCAAGCACAAGCACAAGCACACACACACAAGCACACACACACACACACACATACACACACACACACACACACACACACATACACACACACACACACACCCACACATACACACACCCACACCCTCACACACACACACACACACACACACACACACACACACACACACACAACAACAACAACAACAACAACAACAACAACAACAACAACAACAACAACAACAACAACAACAACAACAACAACAACAACAACAACAACAACAACAACAACAACAACAACAACAACAACAACAACAACAACAACAACAACAACAACAACAACAACAACAACAACAACAACAACAACAACAACAAAAATCTCTTATTGGCGATGGTGCCATCGTGAGAATAAAGAATTCAAACAACAACAACAAAAACAACAACAACAACAACAACAACAACAACAACAACAACAACAACAACAACAACAACAACAACAACAACAACAACAACAACAACAACAACAACAACAACAACAACAACAACAACAACAACAACAACAACAACAACAACAACAACAACAACAACAACCACGGACACACATTCACACCCACCTGGATTGCTTTGCGAAGATTCCCGCATTCAAAGCGCGAATCAAACCTAAGCGCCTCCAGTTCCGACGTAGAAGTGGCCGCCATTGCTCGCCTGGTTTCCGGTGACAATTTGCGAGCGTCCGGTGTGGCAGTGGACTGAGTCAGTGGAGTTGATGGCAGCTGAACATCAAATGCCAGCTCGCTGGAAAGGTCCAAAGGAGATTTGAAGATGTCATTTGAAGTGTCTGAACTCAGCATCATCGGGTTAGTGTTGGCGTAGGCATGGGAAACATTCTGGTCGAGATCGTATACCAACCGGTGTAGGCAGCCCTCTGGCTCAATGTAGCGCATTGCATCGTCAAGCATTAGCTTCCTACAGCAGAACAAGAACACAGCTAAACTTGTGAGACGGCCTGCATGAGAGGAACGCTGCAAACGAAAAAAAGCACGGCACACTTACCGTTAATTGAATTAAATTCCAAGTACACTATGCCCGGATAATCAGATGCCAACAAGCTATGCCTAAAGTTCAAAATACAGTGCACAAAGCACTTCAACCATCTAAGGGTCTGTGCATGGAAGTTCTCTCCCTACAATGTGCTCGCTAAGAAGCTGAAGGACTTGACACGACTGCATGCTGTCAACTTCGTGAACAACGTGACCTCGGATATAACAGCAACTCATGAATAACGACACCATCTTCGGACCTAGTGACCGTTTGACTGCATGCTATTAACCTCACAAATACCGACAACTGGAACAGGCCAATGTACCCTATTTTCAGGAGTATAAGCCTCACTACACAGCTACACAGCTGCATAATGCCGTTTATTCCCGTTTGTGTCTTTCCCTCAAACTAGTCAATATTTTATTTTACTATTATTATTTTTTCGGCAACGCAGATGATGATGATGATGATGATGATGCTGATGAAGCCTCACTTTAACCACCAGTAATTCGCCAAAAAGAAAAGTCAGTGCCGTTTACGCTACAATGGTCAAATTAACGGTAATAAGCAGGCAATATGTCTGTATTTCGCGACAAAAAAATCTGGGCGCGGCTTATACTGCGACTCCAGTGCGGCTTATACTCCGGTAAACCATGGCTTTCACATGACATACTTGCCGACAGCCGGTGGAGTCTTGGTCTGCGGTTCGTCCACTCGTACCCGCCAGGGCGAGAGCTCAGGATGGACGTCGCTTAACGCCGGCTCGGCAAACGGCAAGAGATGGAACACGTCCTCCGGCAACGCATCGTCGCCACGGAAACCCACCGTTGCCCTGATACTGGCCCGTAGTTGCTCATCAAGAGAACTCCACGGCGAGGCGGCGGCAAGTCCTTCCAGATGGGCAGCAGAAGGTACAGAACTTTGATTGCATTGCATCTGCACACACATGCATATATTAGAATAAGAAACAAGGCAGCAAGAAACAATTAGCCAAGAAATCGAATCAGTCGTCACACCAGGTCATGTGCGTACACATTCACTATACAACTTCATGACAGACGTAGGTTGTTTCTTACTCTGAGTCTGAGCTCACGCTCTCTACACATTGATTGGTACCTAAAAACTACCATCAGACACACACAAGCAGTAGGTCGAACCTTCTAATCCGGGTAAAGGCAGGTTGGCACGAAAGAGTTCAGCAGATTTCAGGGCAAGTGACGGTCCAACAGTATCTCCTCTATTTTAGGGTAATAGATACTCCAACATTCATTCAGGCACTCCCGTTTGCATGGACTTTGTGTGATAAGAAGCAAGCTCAGGGTTGGGTGCAGTTAGGAAGTGGCTGCTCACCTCGACAAAGAACTTGCGGAAGTCGTGCAAGTCCTCTGGCTGGCTTGGAGGTGCAGGGCGAGGGTTGCCGCCACGTTCATCATCCTGCACGAAGAGAACACATGGACACGCTTGGTTGGAATTGGAATGCCGTGCACAGCAAGCAATGCTGCAGTTCTCCTCACCACCAGGCCGCATTGCTCAACTGAACAGGGGATCACTGTACGGCAAGTGACACAGTCCGACGCGGCCCTCAAACCAAACAAAAGAGTTGGGAGGCCACAGTAGCATATGAAGAGGGGATGTGCACTGGGACTATGGAATTTGCCAAAAAAAGAATAACCCGAGCGGTTGGTTGGATCAAGGCAAAAGGGCAACATGAGCACTGACCTACTTCTCACACGGATTATGATCTGAACCTGGGTGTAGAGTAGTCTGCTATAAACAGCTGCACACAGATATCATGCTTGCCAGCACCATAGACTAATAATATTGTAAGTACATATACAGTCATTACCTCAGATCCTGCCTCAGAGCTACTGCTATTCGCGGCGTCGTTTTCCGCGTTGCTCTCCACAACATCAGTAGCAGCTCCTTCGGGCACCTTGAAGCGGATCTGAGGACCGAGCGACACGACCGGAAGAGGAGTGCGGGGAAAGCTGTAGCGCAGGATGCCGGCACTCGTCAGCGCAAGCTTCTTCATCTCCTTTTCTACGCATAGTTATGAAGAGAAAGCCATAAGACAAACACCCACCTACTATTAGCGCATGTAGAACTGTACGTACAGTGAAACTTGTGCTAAGCGACCACTACAATACAAGACCACCTGTATTGAGAGATCATCTGTCATTAAAGGCCACCTGCCATTAGAGGCAACCTACCATTAGAGGTCACCTGCCATTAGAGGTCACCTGCCATTAGAGGTCACCTGCCATTAGAGGTCACCTGCCATTAGAGGCCACCTGCCATTAGAGGCCACCTGTCTTGAGAGCCCACCTGTATGAGAGACCCCACATATCTGGCACCATATGCATGCATACATGGATCTCTGCCACAACGGTTCATTAGCGAGCGTCTACGGCATACGCTGTGTTGTAGAGCCAGTCAAGGGCACCACTCTGACAAGGGTGACCGCCTGTCCCAGAGCAGCAGCAAAACCAAGACCAGATGAGTGTGACTTGCAGTCATGCAACCCTGGAAATGGTAAACATGGGTGGGTGATGACCATGGCATGGGTTTCCCATGGACGGTCGGTTTCGACAGGGCTCACAGAATAGCTTGTTAGGTACGCTGCGACCAGCACGTACTAACCACAGCTACACAACTGTTACGGCACACACACACACACACACACACACATACACACACACACACACACACACACACACACACACACACACACGCACACACACACTCTCTCTCTCTCACACACCTCAGACCTCAGACCTGCCCATCGCGGAAGCGATGATAGCGAACAGCTATGTTAGACATAGCAACTTGTGCTGGGATTACACCATTCAACACCTTGCAAGGCTGATGAATTGACCGCCACTAATTTTAGCCTGGTATCCACCACACAGCTGATTGAAGTGGCTTTATCTGGCCAGTGAATCCCTATTTTTCATTTTTTTCATTTTTTCCATTTTTTCATTCCTTTTTTTACATACACACGCTACACCACATACTCCGGCATACACTGGCTGTTGGTAACCACCCAGGAGAATGAAAGAAGAGCTAGGAGAATGAGAAAGAGAAGAAAGACGTGTGCGACCATAATCGTCTGGAATTGAACCCGCAACCTCTCGATTGGAAATCGACTGCACATACCACTGCACCATATGGGACACACACACACACACACACAAACACACACACACACACACGCACACACACACACTTACTGCCTCCAGAAGACTGCATCATTTTGATCAGGAACTGAAAGCCGTCGGCCTTGATCAGTGCTTGCCGCCCGGCTTCTGCAAGAGAAGTAGATGGCAGGGCAAAGTCATGACCAATACATTAGAAAATAGCAGTAGTGGGAGAAACACAACACAAGGCACAGGTGTAGTCTTGCCTGTAAAACACAAGGACCACTTATCAAACATACCTTGTGACACAGTAAAGAGAAGGACTGTTCAGAACTTTCTAGAGTTGCTCCCACTGAGTAGGCTGTCAATATGCTTTAGAAACATTGCAGCACAGCAGTAAGATGTCCTAACATCTCGATACGCCTCTCAGCATATTCCTAACTCCAAAGCCAGTGATGCAAACCATGTGCAAAGGTGTTGCCTGGCGTTTGCACTGTGAGCATGAGCACGAGGCTCTGAGTAACAACACTATAGACTTGGTGCATAGTTTTCTTGTGTGCACCTGTACAAATTGGTGTGATCTGCAAACCCTACTGTGTGCATTGCTGAAGGGAAATACCCGCAGCTTTACTTGGAATTCGCCAGTCTGGCTGAATGCTCGACCCTATAGTGTTCTTTCAACTTCTTTGCACTGGATGTGTATGCAGAGCATGGGTGTGGCGGCGAAACATTGCACAGTTAATGTGACAGGAAGTAGTGACATGCTGTCCTAATAGCTCAGGAAGCAATCAATAGAACGACCTCGCATGACATACTCACTCACTACTGCAGGTGGTATGAAAGCAGGATGGGTTGCAGGCCAGCATGCACACTAAAACATGATTGTACATGTAATGCATTTCCACGCCATGATACTCACAGATACAGGCATAGCACATCAACAGTGTGATCAACTGCATACATGCAAATACCGACTGAATTATTTGGGTCTCTTTGTTGGTATGACTGCGTGCAAACACCGAGGTGTACAAATACAACGGTATGCAATGTAAACCATGTGGAAAATAACTAATTCATTTAGTCTACCGGTATGTCCATTTTTAGGCTACGGGCGCAGAATGTAGGTAGTTGCGACTGTTAGATGAGAGAGAGACAGTATGGAGAGAGACAGTGTGGAGACAGTACGGAGAGAGACACTGTGTGGAGAGAGATGGTACGGAGAGAGACAGTGCACAGAGAGACAGTGCACAGAGAGACAGTGCGGAGAGAGACAGTACGGAGAGAGACAGTATGGAGAGAGACAATGCTGTGACAAACACTATACACTACAGTAACTACCAGTCCAGTTGCAACCGTACCGTGCTTGGCCAGGCTTTTCATCAGCCCCAGAATGGAGGAGCATGTAGCTGGCTTGACGGACTTGTGTGTCATCGACGTCCACTGGCTGGCCATGTTCATTGTCACGGCGAGTAGGTCTTGCTGGACAGCACCGCTAATCCCGCACTCTGCAGCCACACATGAAAATCCCACACCCGTGCCATTAGGTTTTATTACTCAACGCCACAACAGACCTCACTGCCACATACATGTAGATATTTCAGACAATCTTTACAAGCATGATGTACACATGGTGGTAAAGACACACCTGGTGAATTGGCGTCTTCGTATCATTCACATCATTCACGACACACAAAGACAATGTCAACAGTTAATGCACTACAGTTGGATGTTATTGCAATTTATTCAAGGGTTCCCAACTAGTATCACTCTCTGCCCATGAGAACGACTTCTGCAGGATGGGATTAGCCCTGACAGCCAAACAAGTGCAACAGAGGACACGCTATGTGCTGTGCATGATGGGAAGTAGTTTTGGCATACAAACCAGGCAAACGTAGGACTCATTCTCAGGTACTTACTGTGCTTGCACAGCACCAGCAGTGCATCTATACACCTCCTGGCACACCGGGCAACATAGCAAAGAAACACACACGTTTGTTAGCGAGTCACAACTGTAGAGTAGCTTAACATCTATTACATGACAATGCGAGACAGCCATGTTGGTTACAACTCCACTCAACCCCTGCATCTACAGGTCACATGGTGTCGGCCATGTTGGTTCCACCGTCCCCATGTTGCCATGATCACTTTCTACATAAATATAGTCACATGACAAAGATGAGAAACAACTCCGCATCTCAGTACATGTACGTACTTGGTGAATGCCATGTCATGCTGAGGTGCACTGGACAAGAGCTTTGTCAAATAATCCACTGCGCCGTTCTTCACCATCGCCGTAGCATTAGAAGCTAGGGAAACACAGTCAACAAACAGAGACAGTCTACAGTCAAACCTGTCAAGGCGACCACTCGGATAAGGCGACCACCTGTCCTAGAAGACCACTGCAACCAGGACCCAGGGATGCTATTTCCAGTCAAACGACCCTGGATAAGGAGACCACCTGGTAACGGAGACCACGTTTTGAAGGTCCCTTGAGCGGTCGTCTTAGACAGGTTTCACTGTACAGTGCTGATCAATGAAATCCAGCCACATGTGTCAAGTGTGCGCCCTGCACCATTTCCCAGCCCAGTGTTCCCAGGTCTAGGGCTGCGTAACGCCCGGCGCGTACTTGAGTGACGCGACTGGATTTCATTGAGCAGAACTGTAGATGATCTGGAGACCATGTACCGGTTGCACCTTTGCTCTAAGCACCCTAAGAAAGGCAATGGGCGAGGCCAAAGTGTACGGAATTCCTGATGTTGGTCTGATCAACTGAAGATTGATGGGGATAAGAATGCACCTACGGTAATTCAGGACAATGAAACAAAACTATCGAACAAATGGCTAGTGCCGGCCTTTTTTGCAGCAGCATTATAGTTATATTCTGGCATCGATATCTGTGCAAGACAATGAGCACAGAATGCCTGCATGAACAATTACATTATCATATGAGAGAGATCCAGCAAGAAAATGTTGTTAAGAAAAAGCTCTGCACTCTGCGCTTTGAACACTTTCCCAGGAGTGATCATTTTCTGTCTGTGCATGAATGATCTTTTTTCCATGTTCTGCCAGAAATAACGACTTTCTTATTCTCTGTTCCTTTGCTTACCATTCGAACCGAGAAGTCGGATCAGTTTCAGGACCGGTTCTCGGTGGAGGCCGGTGGCCGTCTTGATGAGGGCACAGATACAGTTGACACCGCCGACTAAGCGTGCCCGTATTGCAAACTTCTTCTCTGCAGACAGATGAATGAGCAGGGTGCACGGTGTCCAATCATCAAACTGCATTGTTGAAAGCCATGACAATTTTCGAATGTGATGAATCAAATGTTGGGTTTTCACGGCGCAATATTCTTGCCAAATTCCAACTATACAACTTCACATGTACGGAGGATCTAAAGCTAACTTACGGAATGGAGCCAGTTTGACCAACAGCAGAAGACACTGCTGTAGGCATTTGTCCGTCTTCCCCGCTTCAGTGCTCTTCTGACGGCTGATGAGCAGCGACCAGACATTGTCCACAATGCCGTGGCCAGCTAGTCGGACACAGCGTCGCCCTGCCACACGTAACACGACAAGCCATGTACACGTTGTACCCGAATGCTAGAGGGAAAACATTACGGTTTCCATACTATTGTATAGTACTGATGATTTAACCCCTCCGCAGTTTCTATCCCATGTCGATTTCTGCTCAGGAAGCGACTTGAGCTTATATGTCTAAAGGTTGTGTTGACTAATGTATACACCACTATGCAACACTTGCCAGTGCACGTGCTCAAGAGGATGGAAACGTGCACAATCCGGCATTACATATAGGACCCTGCGCATTGTTGTGCAGCGCACTGCATCCGACAGCCTGCATCCAATCTCTCTCTCTCTCTCTCTCTCCGGAGCGACACTCAGTGGGTGGCTGTGTGCTGGGGGGGGGGGGGGGGGGGGGTAGAGAGTAAAATTAAGCCATGTTGCAACTTAATTAACAGCTACACACTAGCCAGGAGTAGAGACAAAATGGAAAGGCTGCCCACAACTATAGCTTATCTGTTCTTTAAGATTTATAAGAGCCCAGAAATACAAATGGTAGGATGTGTGGCAATGTCAGCATTATTTCGTGCATGAATGCTCATATGCATCAATCCTGGTAGACGAGTCTGTGTGATAAACGTACGTGACGTAGCCAGGCAATTGAATATCTGCAGCACCGTGCAGGCCGCCAGCGCATCCTGGCGATTCTGCAGTCAGTCACAGAGAGGACAACAGTTACTGATTCTACTAGGTTCCTTCGAGACGGAACTGCAATCAGACTGACGTATCAATACAACAAAAGTTTACACGAATTCCTTTTTACCGGCAAGGTATGAATGTGTACACGAAGGTTTGAAAGCTGCTAAACAGATATTCATCAGTCTACCAGCATACCAGCCTTTCCATTCCAAGTCACCACTGCTGCGAGGAGAACACCTACATGGGACATGCAGTATGAGCAGACTTGATTCTTTTCTTTTCTAATTGGACTTTCCCACTAATTTGATTTGATTTTTCCTATTTACTGGACCGTATGCGGTCCCCATTGCTTTCTTTGCTTGCGCTCTTCGAGCTCCTTATCCTGTGCATCACCCAGTCTGTTATCAAACACAGCCAAACGTCTCAGCAGAAGCGGCGACGTACCGCTATTAGAAGCTGGAGAGTCTCGATGCCGGCTGGATGGACAAGAACGGCCTTTCGGGCCTTCTCTGCGGTGGCACACACAGCACAAAGGACAAGATAAGGTTTGCATTCGCGATGGCCACCAGTATAGACACAATGTGTGGGACAAGATAAGGTTTGCATTCACAATGGCCACCGGTATAGATACAATGCACACCTTCAGGCGTTGCCACGCATTCCCTCAGCCAAAGACCAACGTAAAAAAATAAAATGAATAAATAAACACTCTACCCATCAGCCTCACCCAATGCTAGACTATGGGAGTATCTATGCCAGGATTATTCACTGGAAACCGCTATAAATATCAGCCATCACACACCAGATACATATTCGTATCTGTTCAAAGTGGCTTATGCGAACACTTTTGGCTAGCCTGCACGGTGTGTGTGCCCATTAATGCAGCTACATGCCATGCTAATGTCCACGCAAGCAAGCACATGATAATATCAGCCATCACACATCAGATATGCAGGTTCGTACCTTGCTTAGATGCTGCATCATGTATACGCTGGGCTAAGGAACGGCATGTGGTGCTAAGCTCCAGGCGACCCGTTGCCAGTTCCCTCGCATTGTTGGCCAGTGAGTCCAGCAACGATGCTATGCGAGTTCTGAGCCAAGGGAAGCGAGAGGGGTGTACAGAGAACAGAACAATGTCAGGCAAGACACGCATTGAGCTCAGGCGGAACACTACCTCAGCATTTTCTTATATTGCTATACATTTCAGAGCAAAGTACCATAGACAGGCACGTACCCCGCATGGGGCACGGGGGGGGGGGGGGGGGGGGGCACGTGCACCCCCCCCCCCCTTAAAAAGTTTGACCTAGGTTCAGCATGCATGTAATGGCCATGAATGACATGCACCAGCCATCCTACACATATGCGGCCGTGCACCGCTGTCTATAGATGTTGTTTGGCTATTTTAAATTTTTTTTAAATTTTTTAATAATCCTTTTTTGTTGAAGAAGAGGTTGGTGCGTGCGGCTTCGGCGATAGTTGGGGAATTGTTTTTTTCACCAAGCAACCCACTCTACTACTACGCTAGCGCGCTAGCAGTTTCTGAAAAGTGCTATGTCACAGTATGTGTACGGAGAATCACGGAGAATGTTACGTCGTTCATTATTCTGAGACAAACGAGCTGGTCCATGCATCTGTACCATGGAACTACGGAAACGCCACGAAACATGGCCAAATCTACAGGTCACGCATGCACAGTCGTGAGTCAGAATAGCCTCAGTACACAAACAGTGACAAAGCCGTCAGAAACAAACAGGCAATTAGCTCCGCACGCAAGCATTCGCCTTACCGAATGGGCGCGCCTGAAGTTTTACTCATGGTTCTAGCTGGTCCGCTGGACAAACCAATTCAGCCTGCAGTGTTCCTTTTCACGATGATGGCTAACGTACAGTTGCGTTGCCTGAAGCTGTTATTTTATTGTGAATTCCACTCCGCGCAAGCCACATGCAAGAAGTAGGTGGTCAGAACACATCGACACACTTTCTGCTTAGCGACACCCACAGCAGGGAACGAGTGTTGAGCAACGCTACGGCCAAGAAAATGCCTTGGTATCATGATAAAAAGGGGGAAAGTCCTAGAATCAGTTCCAGCTACCACAACCGTTCAAGACTTTCATACTTGTTTCAATCAACTACTGAAGTATTCCAGTAAGTGCTACCCACACAACAACAGCAGGCCCGGGTGCACGGTCTACAACGGAAAGCGACTGCCGGCAGGTAGCAGCTTTCTGGGAAGTTTGTTCTGGCGGCAAATGCTCATCGAGCAACTCCATTTCATTTTGGGCGAAATGGCTGACACTAGACACGTCGTAAACACTGCGATGTGTGACATTGCTAATGTCATTGGCAGTTCAACATCGACTGCGGAGTGCAGACCTGTCAAACAATCAACACCACACGCTATCCAGCTACAAGCTGAAAACAGCACGGCATTGCAGCGTGGCACTGGCAGGAAATTCGAAAGCCAACACAAACAATACAATCTGAATCATGAACCATGATAAAGATTGTGTCAATATCAGGGAGTAGTATTTTACTACTCCCTGGTACATGGTGAACATACCCATGATAAACAGGCCAGGCGCGAATACCATGGCGGCTTAGGCATGGCATCATAAAAATGAGCTAAACTGGCTACTTTTATTAAAGGGGAAGTATACCCTAAAATCAAATTTTCACCAGTTGTAGTCTTCTGGGTGCTGAGTCGAATGGTCTTGGTCCGAGGAAGCTGCGACGCTCCCTTCCTACTTGAATCCCAATCGAACTCGCGCACTTCCACCGAAACTGGGTGACTGCGCCCTACTAGATGGGGATTTGTATGCAAAATGTCACTAAAAGCGCCATTTCGTTCTTATAAAAGCACGGATGACCGCGATTGGCCCATATGTTGTAGTCTTTTGGACGCTGAGTCGACTGGTTTTGGTCCGAAAAGGCTGCGATGCAGCGTTCCTCCTTTATTCCCAATCGAACATGGTTGAACAAGCGGTCACGTGCTCCTGGGTGCCCAAATCACCTGGTCACCGCGCCAGCAGGCGACAACTTTCACACCAAGGTTCAACTCGAGTTCAACTCGAGTGACAGGACTGCACCCAAAAAAGGTCAAACAGGCTAGTAAGTTGTACCCTGCAGGCACGGTGACCAGGTGACTGGTGTACGCAGGAGCACGTGACCGCTTGTTCAACCATGTTCGATTGGGAATAAAGGAGGAACGCTGCATCGCAGCCTTTTCGGACCAAAACCAGTCGACTCAGCGTCCAAAAGACTACAACATATGGGCCAATCGCGGTCATCCGTGCTTTTATAAGAACGAAATGGCGCTTTTAGTGACATTTTGCATACAAATCCCCATCTAGTAGGGCGCAGTCACCCAGTTTCGGTGGAAGTGCGCGAGTTCGATTGGGAATAAAGGAGGAAGGGAGCGTCTCAGCTTCCTCGGACCAAGACCATTCGACTCAGCACCCCGAAGACTACAACTGGTGAAAATTTGATTTTAGGGTATACTTCCCCTTTAATAGGCTAAATAAAGTGCCTTTACTTAGTCTTTACAAAGGTCTGCTGTCGACTGTCGGTGTGCATGGTGTGAGTTCGAAGTAAAATTAGTTGGCACGTGCGCTGTCATGGCACGGGACGTGCGCCGAATGAAGAAGAGTCTTTGCAAAAAATCAAGCGTTCCTTGTAATTCCCTCGTATCATCAATGTTTGTGACATTTGCTTCAAAAGAGGGCATTGTCGGGCCGGCCCACGCTGCCCACAGACAGTCAGTGGGTATGTTGTTAGCTATCATGGTTATATATTTAACGAAAGTCATGGCATCATCATCATAATCATAGCTCGATCATTGATTTGAAGTGAAATTTGTGACTTTCCTTTGTCAAAGCTGAGCGAAGTGTGGCATGGTAAGCGATCGTCCACTCGAGACCAATCACTTGCCACATTAGATATGGGATCCTGGAGGTAGTGGTCTTTTGCTAGAATTGAAACACCGTAAACGCCTCATAGCATCATGGCAGAAGTGAAGCATAACATATCCACGTTATGCCGTGTTCTCAAATTGACCGGACTATCGAATCTGGTGGCAGAGGACGTTCGAAAGGCTAAGTTCGATAAGCTAGTGTTGCGACGGAAGCTATGGCAGACGCTGCACAACGCTTGCATTCTACTGAGGGACAGTGGTACGTTCTGCACGACGGACGGGACTATGATAGGTATGGCCGAAGTCTGTAATTGTCCCCAACTAAGTTTACTCACCCAGCAAAATTTGCCGGACGAGCTGTCGAGTCCGAAAGAAACATTCTCAGTGATATCCCACGTGATGGGCATGCTGGATCTAATGCAGTTCAGTAGCTCGCCGTATTGGCCAGCACTGATGCTGGCAGCGGAGTCTGCTTTGAGCCAGGACTCCACTGCAGAAACAGGTCACAGCCGGGTGTTGCTGATAGCAGTGTGCTGGCTGATGGCCAAGTACAACATGGCTGATTGTATCGTCCATTGGACGCACAGGCAAGCTATGACTTGCCTTCCGCGTCACTGCACAATTGCGGCCAGTCACACGGGAGTTGATTCACGGGCGAAAGCTACACCATCATTCCAATCAACAGGGGACCAGCTGAATCATCTAGTTGCCTCCGTCGGGCGGCTGAGAAGCGCGGCCAGGTCTGTGAGGCTGCAGCAGGAGGACGCAGCGCGCCTTGGCCACCGCATTCTGACCTGCGTGGCGGGTGCATCATCGTCAGCACATGCAGCCTGCACTGTTCGAGATGTGCAACTGCTCTGGGACAAGAAGAGACTGGACGAGGTGTGCTCAGTAGTGCACAAAGCCAACACCATTCTGGCGAATATCGTCGCCTGGAAAAGCAGCGAGGATAAGTTCTGGATGTGGGCAGACAGTGTGCTGCAGATGCAGGAAGAGCACACCACTTCTGGCATGGACCACCGGAACACTACAACATCCAATGCATCAGATGAAAAACTGGTTCACTTCTCAGCGAACCCTCTTCCGGCTGCATCTCTGTGTAGGGCATCCGCGAGCCAGGACAAACGTCGCATTGCGGTGTCCAGCCAGTCCAGTGCGATGCTGCCGTACTGTAGCCAGCTGGCGAAGCAACTCGACACGGTGCGCACCAGACAGAGGGAGAGGGCAGGTTATGCACAGCAGCTGGTGCAAGAAGCTGTCGCGCGTAACACGTCTCTTGTCGTCTTGCAATGACTCCAGAACAAACATGGTATATACGGGGAACCAGAAGCAAGCTGCACTCCTCTATCAATAAATTACAACTTTGCAGGCTGTAGGGCACGACCGAATGTTCCTACTACACTGGTGTTTCTGTATGATCATCACACACCCTGCTCGTAGTCAAGGTATGGCTCATGGAGGAAGTATCACTAGTACTGTTGGCTATGTACATTCATAATTGGTGACCCACACATGGTCAGCGGAGAGTCCAACGTTGATAACCAAGCTCTGCTGAACATGCCGCTCTGTGACGAAGCTTCTCACACACGACGAGGGCGACCTGAACAGTGTGTGCCGCGAAACTCTGGGTTAGGACCCAATCGTTTTCATCCTCCACATGACACCTATCCAAAGGTGCATGCATACTCACAAAACACATACACACACACACACACACACACACACACACACACACACAGACGCACACACAAACTCAGCCCTAATCTTGAATATGCGCAGTTACACTGTAGGTTCTATATCTCGGAGTTGAGTGTTGCCAGATAGAATTATTTAAGGAATCCATTTCATAGGTTTTTCATAAGTACAGAAAGTGAGTATTTTGTTGACAGGTGTTTATGGATAGGTCAGACACCACAGAAAACAGTACTATTATAGTATGTGGTGAACAGGTCAAATGACCTTTGTAGTACCATGGAAAAAGCTCTCTTCTGATGCACTTTTACGTCCAGGACTCCCTGATATACAGCTCCCTGGTTACGCCGCGTCAGAACAACAGAACCCTTCCATAGAGCTTTCTCATGAGGTTTCCCGGCCCGTGCGGCATACGAAGCCTTGAAATAGAACAGGTTGTGCCATCACTCGGCCAATAAAGGACTGGCGACTCCCTCCTAATTCCACTGTTCTTCAGGGAGATTGGCAGCATTTCTAATAAATCTCCTTATGGTTTGATTTGCCTTGTACTAAGTTATAGTGAACGCACCGCAGGGTGATGTGAATTCTGTGAAATTCGTCTATAAGTTGTCATGTCAGATCCTCTTCCATAGTTTCGGTGATTGGGAATCACCACCGAGGACAAACACAGTGATAATAAAATAAACGCCAACCTCTCTCTCTCATGCTGAATAGCACCAGTGCCAAGACAAACAACTAGCACAGCGACTGTGTACGTTAAACGTGATTGGTACAATAGCACTACAATAGCACTACAATAATGGTAAAGAGCACCGCTGAGCGTCCGTGTTAGTCAAGAAGCCAGCAACAACACATGGGCAATACACATACACATACGTAGTCCATAGGCAAAAGTTAGACCTCAAATCAAGACCATCAGACTTTGAATTTAGAACTTCAAAGGGAACAGTTAACGAACAGTTAACGACTGATGATAATGTGCTCAAATTCTACGATTCTGATCTACCAGATGGTCTCCTGCTATGCCAGTTGATGACTATGTCTGTGTCCACAAGCTAATACTTGAGATATAGTTGTAGCAACTTAGATTGGGTATGATATCTAGATAAATGTACTCCATTTGACCATTGGATCAGGCTAATCATGATGTCGTCATTGCATCAGGCAAATCACGATGTCGTCATTGCATCAGGCAAATCACGATGTCGTCATTGCATCAGGCAAATCACGATATCATCATTGGATCAGGCTAATAACGATGTCATTGAATCAGGATAATCATGATGCCATTGGATCAGGCTAATCATGATGTCGTGTCCTTTCTGACATAGACCTTTGGCCGAGAGAATATGCGGAGCGCCTGCTCGAGCTCCTCCAGTGACCGCTCGAGCTCCGTCTTGCGGTTCTTGATGCGCAGCGTGTCGTTTCTAACCGGCATGGCCTGGAGCTCCAAAGAGAGCTTGTCATGACCTGTGTGGATGTGCACACACGCACAGACGCCAAACGAATGGCATTATTAGGAACAGTGCTTAGACAACTAGTCTTCTAAATCTCACCGACCAGTTTACGGCATGCGAGCAGTGCTGGTCTTCACATATTTTCTAGTGAGCGTGCCAACTGAGTCAAGTACTGGATATAAAAATTTAATATAAACTCCATGTACGTGCGATGCAGACTTTGCAGTCCTAAACATATTTATGAATCTACTTCGAAGTACAAGTTTATGAGTTCGAAAGCAGCTTCTTATCTGATGATAAGTTTTAACGGTGGACATTCTCCTATGCATTACGACCATCTTCTAATACGCATGCCCTACATGTACCTACTGACTGTAAAGTTGGTTGCCCTGGGCTACACATGTACCTACTGACTGTAAAGTTGGTTGCCCTGGGCTACACATGTACCGGTACTTACTGTAAAGTTGGTTGCCCTGGGCTACACATGTACCGGTACTTACTGTAAAGTTGGTTGCCCTGGGCTACACATGTACCGGTACTTACTGTAAAGTTGGTTGCCCTGGGCTACACATGTACCTACTTACTGTAAAGTTGGTTGCCCTGAGCTACACATGTAAGCATGGACTTGGATGGAGAGCCAAGGATAAATTTTTGGAAAAGAAAAAGGACCAAGGAACATTATAGCGAAGCTTGTAGTTCCTCGGTCCTTTTTATTTTCTATACAGTTTCAGCTTACTGTTCTCGAGCTTGAGCAAGGTCTCTTGGCGTTCCTTCTCCGGCATGACAACATGGCCTTGTGGACAGTTTGGGTCAGGCCGCCGTGCGATCCTCTCCTGTTCTTCTCGTTGCCACTTCTTCTGCTGACGACGGAGACTAGAGATCAAACATTGACACACACATGCACACACACACACACACACACACACACACACACACATACATACATACATACACAGACAAGGAGTTAGAAGATACAGAGCATGTATTTCAATTCTATCCCCCCGCCCTAAAGATACTCTTGTGCATTGTCCTTACAACATCCTAGGTGAGCTTTGAATCGCCTCTGAAGAATCTGTGAACTAGAAATGCAATACAAATGCAGTTTCACATGTAAGTCAAGGCAGATTGGACAAACCATACTCGATTGTGCACTGCACAACTGAGCACAGGGCTGTTGCACATCCATCACATGCCAGTACTGTACTACAGGTCAGCCATGTTGGTTGTAACTCCAAGCAAATCCCTGTATCTATGGGTCACATGACGTCGGCCATGTTGCTATGATCACTTTCTACACAACCTTTAAGTCACATGACAAAGATACGAAACCACTCTATAAGACACTGACTTGTGCAACACACAGTCAGGTTATCTTTAATGAAAACACCGAGGCTATCAACAGCACAAGGTTCAGTGTGTTCAGATGCCCCGCACTCACTAATCAGGGACCTCTCCTTTTCTATGGAAGGTTTCTGTCGGCTTCTTGCTTGTTCCGGTCACGTTCAATTGTCCCACTGAGCCGGATCGTTGCATGCGAGGTTGATCGGCCATCCGCTGGACGTTCTCCGCGACGAAATCGCGACTGCTCGACCTTCGGCCACCCGTGCTTGGCTGGAATAGGAGAAAGGAGAATATGAGTGGCATCAAGTCCACAAACTCTCAGCATTGAATCGGAAATCAGCAATGCGCACATGATTGGTATAGGTGAAGGAAACCTATCATGCTGCATCCTGCCATTGGGTTAACTTATCAACGTTGTACCAGATTCAAAAGTGAAGCATAGGTTTACTAAGTTCACTTACATATTGGGCAATGAAAAAATAATTGCTATTTACAATTATTGCCTCCTCTACGATTATGTAATCGTTTACTTCTTATTTCTTGAGAGATGCCTGCTCCCTGGGAAGAGGGAGTGACAGCAGTAACAGTGAAAACAATTTAAAACAAAGAGGAGGGTAGGGGCTGCATATGCATAAGCCAGTGCTGGTGAAGCAAATTTGTAACGCTAACCATAGGGTTTGTGATGCACATGCAAGTTTAACTTCATCACCGGACAGCTAAGTCTAACCAACGCAGCTCATAGTGAATAATAGAGCATTTTTAAACTGGCTCAAAGCATCCAGGTCAGAGTGATGTAAGAGCAAGAAACCTATCGATCTTTGCACAATGGCAGGTAATTTTCACATGGACCAGAATAAGTACTCGACCAAGCCGAGGTGAGGTAGCACAGCATTCACTGTAAGTGTCACTTCAGTGGAACATGGGTGAATGCACACAGCGAGGACCCGAGTGACAGAAAATGGATACTTCGGTGTAAACGCATCTTACCCTTCGTCTCGGAGCTTGCGGTTCCTTGTAGCTCTCCGACGACCCCTGACGCCATTTGGCATCGCCAGCCGTCGCCGGTCGTGGCTGCCTGCCATCTCCCCGTGCAGCAGCGGCCCCACCCCGACCTCCACCCCCATCGATGCTAGTGGCTGGTCTGCGCTCCACCGAAGAGGACCTGACTCTGGCTGCTGCAGGCCTACTGCGGCCGTCCTTAGGAATACTGGCCTCGCGTCTGGCTACATGATGCCGTCCACGATCATCGCTACCAGCCTAAGGGAAAATGAAAAAAGCCATGCAGTAATGCATACGGGTTACGAGTTATGACAAACTGTCCACAACTGTAATGAGAAAATAAGCAGTCACAAAGTGCGAAAACAGGACACGACACTGACAGGGGTACTGAGACATTCAACGACCTGACACCTAGCTCTAACACATATCCAGTGCATACACCAACAGCCTTCCAGCTTGGAAGGTTCGAGGTTATGGTAGAATCAATGAGGGGAAGGTGAGTGCAGCGAAAATGTGCACGAGCTATGTACCACGGCAGGGCCTGCTCTAGACATTCAACTCAGCCCGGTCAGAGTGTACCTGGCGCATGCAGGCCAGCCGGGTCAAGCCGGGTCAGATCATCCTGCAGAAAAACAACCAAAAAGCCTGCTCAAAACGCAGGAAAACAGAAAGGCGAGTGTATTACCGGAAATCGGAAATTTTAGAGAACAAGGCGAACTATCAAAGTCCGCAAACGTAGAAGGTAAACGACATTATGTGAAGAATGCAAAGCAGTAACATAATAGAGCACTGGGGGGGGGGGGGGCTGCAGCACCTTGTGGAGTGGCTGCTTGCTGCGACTGAATCACCTGCATGGCCAAGCCGACTGGCATCTGCTGCACCATCTGCTGAAAGGCTTCAGCAGACTGGAGAACTGGTGGAGTTGCAACTGCTGCTACTGCTGCTTGCGCTGGCGCTAAGTGACTGCGCTGCTGTTGCTGGTGGCGCTGTTACTGCTGCTGGTGCTGCTGCTGCCGCTGCTGCTCTGGGTGTGCGGGCCAGGTCCCTCCGTTCAGACGAGGTTGACGTTGCAGTCGTAGTGCGCCGAGTCACCTCAGAATGCCATGCAGCCATAGTCTTGTCGTAGTTGAAGCAGTGAGTTCTTACCTTTCAACCACGCATCGCAACCAAATCCACCGCCGCTCGTCTTCCTTTGGAAATGCGTCTTGCACAAAGCGCATGACATGGATAGACTGCCTTGGTCGTAGTCCAGCCAGGGTTGACCTTTCTTCCAAGAGTCTTGGAAAGCGTGAGTTTTTTTTTCTCTTCGCTGCGGGCTCCATCGTCCAAATCACCAGTCGGCTGAAAACTTACTTGCAACTGTGTCAAAAGCTATAGCCAAAGTTACGCTTTTGACTGCCTGCCCCATCGACTTCCTGCGTGATGTCCAGACTTCCTGCTCGCCGCTGGCCAGATCGCGCTCGAACCAGTTGACCCCAGTTGACCCTAGCCGAGTTTCTTTCGCTTGTAGACTGTAGTCTGTAGCAGGGAGTAGTAAAATACACTGGTCTGTAGTGTGTACGGTTGTTGTTGTTGTTGATTTTTATTTTGCTTCGCAAGGCCAAACGGGCAATGGTGCCCAATTCTATGGAAGGTTGCGCTAGATTTGCAACAGATGGGGTCCGCGAGTCGTAAAATACGGGTATTTTAGGAATCCATTGTCAGTTTGAGACATTTTTCAGCCGGGTCAGACTGGACCCGGTGTTATCTGTTCAGCCAGGTCGTGCAGTTCCCCAGCCGGGCGCGTGACCTGGCGTGCCACAAAGAATGTCGACTGTTACAGGACGAAGACGAGACCAGTTAATAACTTGACAATGCGGTCTAACTACAATTCGAAGCAGCAAAGCAACACACCACCCAACTTGGGTGGGTCGGAAATATCCAAGATAAATACACAAGAATTGCGAAAAAACGAATTGTACAAAACCTCGTAACCCATGTGTCCATTCATATTTTTTACATATTACTATTGGCTCAGTACCCGAGTACTGCATACTAATCCATATAATGGACTCGGATGGAGAGCCAAGGATAAATTTATAGTAAAGAAAAAGGACCAAGAAACTACAAGTTACGCTATAATGTCCACTAACACCACCAGTTACTAAACAATCAGCTCGTGCGATAACAGCGCATGACACTGACCGACGGTACTGACGTTCTACAACTACAGTCCATTTCAAAACTAGAGACGCGTACCTAGGCAAAAACCGTTATGCCAGCATCTATACCACATAAAATCTGTGATCACTTTGTGCATAATTTTTTCCAAATTGGGCGTCTGTTATCCAATCGTTTAGAAACTATATGAGAGTAATTGTGGAGCGGACCTGAGCAATATTCCGAAAACTATTCTCAAAAAGCTCTAGCCAAATTTGAAATATTTCAAAAACCTTACGCGTTTATAGTTTTGAAATGGACTGTAACTGGCTAACAGCTCAAACCAAACCAAATAACTGAAAGACTTTCAAGAGGGATGGTCTGAGCAATGACGGACTACGCATATTGGTATGTAAAAAGTTTGCACGTCCGTGTTAACACCGGCTACACACAGACATGAGTGGGTCGATAGCTTGCCTCACTTCACGGCCACTTACGATTTCCAACTGCGGAACTGCTGTGGGTGGTCGACGGTATTCACGTGGCACTGCCTGGCCACAGGTAGCGCATGAGTGTGGCCGTTCTTCATGCCTCCCTGCGTGTGTACGTGACCGACGCTCACCATCCTGAGGTAAACACGGCAAAGGGGAGCATGCCATTGCAACCACGACTTCGGAGAATTCTCTTACAGTCGAATATCGTAAGGTACACAGAAAGCACTTTGGGCATGAATACCAGTTCTGTCATGGGCCGAAATTCCGACACCGGTTTGTTGAAGCCTGGCCATTGTCCGAGATGATTTTTTTATATCTGCCTCAAGATCCATGGAGTGAGATCGGCCTCACATGTGCCTCAGTAGCTTCCTCAGTACATTAACATGAACGTGACTCCTTAGAGTTAGAGAGAGAGAGAGAGAGAGAGAGAGAGAGAGAGAGAGAGAGAGAGAGAGAGAGAGAGAGAGAGAGAGAGAGAGAGAGAGAGAGAGAGAGAGAGAGAGAGAGAGAGAGAGAGAGAGAGAGAGAGAGAGAGAGAGAGAGAGAGATGCATGTGTGTGGAGGTGGGAGGGGAGGGGAGGGGGGGGGCATGGGTAAGTGTATCTATCTCAATCTGTACTGGGAAAGACGTTTTGGTCATATTCACACGCAGAATCAGGTCATTGGCTTGCTGATGTGTGCACAATCATGCACGCAAACACGCACACACATATACACACACATATACACAGAAACACAAACACACAGACACACCAACACAGAGAGACAGACACCCATACCCACATACACACACCCTGTCTCACAGACACACAGACACGAATGGAAACACACACAAACACAGATACACATGATGGACACACACACACGCACACACACGCACACGGTGGACACACCAATTAACTTACCGTCCTGTGACGGACTTGAGCACGTGGGGCAGGTTCACCATCTAGCACATCCGGGGCTGGATGAACAGCTTTCAGAGGCGCAGTCCTCCGACCTGTTCCTTCTTGCTTCTTCTCCCGCTGGAGTTTCTTCAGCTTCTCGGCGTTGATACGCTCAAAATCCTTCGGTTCTCCACCTGCATAGCAGACAAACAAGCCGCGGTTGTAAACGATAGCGGAGTTGGCTCATAATCCTATATTATACTGCTATTAAGGCAGAGTCTGACATGGGCAACGCCGACATCACCTTTAAAATTCCCAATCACAGCACGCTATGTAGTACAATATAGTCTATATCCCATGCAGATTGAACACAGAAGCAAGCACATGTGCATGGGCGTCCTACATGCGCTGGTTGCCAATGTAGGGTCATGACCACCACTTCGCATGCTGGTTAACACTTTGCATCAACAGTCAGTATCGATCTTCAATGCGCATCCCCTATCTGTTGATTTTGACAGAACGGATCGACCAGTTTCCTGTTTGATTGGACTCGAATAGTCCCATCACAAATCAGACCCAGACATGGGTGTTCCGCTTTCGTATTCATCATCGAATGAGTTACAAGATGACCTATCTGTCAACACACACCCATCTTGTCCTATACTATAGTACGCGCTTCATGCATGGGATTTAGCAATCAGTGTCTGTGACACAGCCTTCATCGACTGTGTGCGGAGCAGAGAAGAATCAGCGTGCAGCCTACAGGCACAGTACAGTGGGGAGTGGGGAGGTTTTGCCGAAATGCTGCCCATTCAAATGCACACTCCATGAGTCTGACTTTTGTGCTCGATTTACACAACGCAACAGGCAAAGCCGCGAAGCTGCTCGTGTAACCGACAGAGCAGATCTCATATCAGTTGTTTCAACATGTCTCTATATCTCTTTCAACCCTGATATATTCTACAGTTCTGGACGTCACATTTGCCAGTAGCCCCAAAGCTTCATCACTCACGCCGCTCCGAAAGAGGCCGCTTGGGTGCTTGCGGAAACTGCTGAAAGACGAGCGCGATCGAGCCATCCACGCTCGCTTTGGCGTAGCTCTGCGCTTCTGGCTTGACACGAGGCATGGCTCGTGGCTCCTCTATACCGCCACGCTGCAGCCTCTGGCCAACGTCCGACGGAATGGTCCACTGGCCAGACGTGGCCATCGTCTTGGCAGACATGGTGCAGGGAGGACTGAATCACTGACAGTGATACGAAGTACAACGGTGTAGATCTACGAGTGCGAGTGTTCGCTTGCAAGATCAACGAAATCGAAACAGTACTTCCAGCAGAGACACCGCCAAACGGGTCTGTAGCTGTGGCATGGGATGATTGCTAAAATATTGGACTAGTTCAGTAGTTGCGCTTGTCGGCATTAATTTTGTAACAGTCTAAACGCGATTTGTTTGTCCGGCAGCTTCGAGTTCGACGACAACGTGATCCACAGCAAGAGTGGCAGGCGCAGTAGTACTAGTTGGGCTGGATGGCTATTATTTTTTCAGCTCCGACATAACACTGTTCCGCTCCGTCATTGCAATGCCGTCTTAGGGCTAGTTAGGCTCGGGGCCGGGACACACACGCGCCACGCAAGTGACAGCAAAACAAGTGGGAATGGCAGCCGCCCATTAATAGGCATTACTCTTCTTCTCACTCAACTAACGACCACCTGTCGGTTTTTGCTCTAGTATTTTAGCCAAAAACGATCAGCCGCCTACGTTACATGTATCATGTGTATAGCCTATAGGCATCGGATCGCGGAGTAGTGCCAGTGGTAGATCTACATCGTCGCGTCATGATCATGGATCGGATCGTTGTTCTTGACAACGTCGTTGCGTCATGCTGCACTCAGACTCTCGAAAGTCATCCACTGATCCAGTCGAGACTCTCGCGGTTTTTTTAATTGTATTGTAATTAGGGCTCAAACGGTCACCATGGTCACGGTTTTACCCCTGACGGTTAACTGCTAAGCTAACGGTCGGTTAACCGGTTATAACCTATAAGCCACGGCAATCCTGCGGACTCTTTTTTAACCGTATATTTGACTATACTCATTCAAAAAATGTACCCTATTCAGTACAACGCACACTTGTACATTCTCCTGTCCCCGGGGAAAATTGCGATTCCGCGGCCGCGTTTTTTTCCGCGTTTTTTGCGATTTTTTAAAAGACCGCGTTTTCCGCGATTTTCCCGCGTTTTTTGAACTTTTTGTTGCACTACACGTACACACAGTGCACTGTTCGGTCAGCAACGTCTCATCGTGGCGGCTTTTTACTCAAATATGACGAGTGCTTACACCAGAGACTTGTAAAACTGATTGATTTCACTACATACTCACTGAAAATTGCCGCACATCAATATTATTCACCGCATATTTACCGCATATTTACCGCAAATTCACCGCAAATTATGCCATATTATGCCGCGTTTTTCCCCGCGTTTTTTGCGATTTTTTTCCGCAATTTTCCCCGGGGACAGATTCTCTTGCATGCTCATTCATACATACTCTCACACCAAGAGACCAGATATGACCGAGTTGACAGCCCAGAAATTGCGTACGCGTGCGACAGCCCGCGAAAGTGCACACTTTGCAACGACCTGATACTTGAAAAATTGACTGAAAAGTTACTGCGTAACCGTTATCTTTATCGGTTAACCGTTAATTCTTCGTAACCGGTCTGCAACCGGTTAATCGGACTAATCGTTTGAGCCCGGGGAGGCTAATTGTAATGTTGTACAGTCACTGAGTCAGTCATAAAGACATACTAGTAGTAGTAAGTAGTAGCTCCAGACTGGGGTAAAACGTGCCTAAAAAACGTCGTGCAGTGGAAACTGCCCTGATGTGATGCTTGATCGAGCTGCAGGGGTACGGGTAGCTACCGGTACGCAATCGTTCGATCCACATCAACCATCAAGTCTTCTTTGCGACTTTGTTGCATGAAAATTTGTCTGGTCGAGTTCTGGATGATGGGCAGTGCAGTAGTGAGTGCAGGTATATATATCATCATCACCCTGCATAGATTAGAGAATAGCCCGATAATGGCGACATGTAAACAGTAACTATGCACATGGCCTCTGTACCTCCGTCGCTTAGGCTATAAAATCACTCCTAATTTCTCTCACTCTCAGTCTCAGCTCTGCCGTTGCGTACTGGTTTCGTTGCCTTGATGCAGTTGATGGCTGCAAAATCATTTTGTGGTTTCTCAGTATGAAGAATTAATGAAACTCTGCACGTAGGTCTACGTGTGAGAGTAGCGTGAGACTCAGCGTCGCACTTTTGCGCGTAAGTTTTATGGGCCATGCCGGCGGGTAACCCGCGTATTATAAAATAATCATGATATAAATCATCATCGGCTTCAGCCAAACCACTCCTGGAATCAATCAAAATCTCTTCCAAAGATTTTCCATTCCAGCCTGGCGTCAGGTCAAGGACAGGTACCAGACATACTAGTAATAAGGATTAGGTGTAGTACTAGTAGTAGACACATGCAGGGCATGGCATGGGAAGGCACCAGGTGGTGCCGACGCCGCTGCACCCCGCCATCGGACCGCGGAGGCATGTATCATCGCAATCATGTCCGACACTCACTTGGGACGAATTTTAGTCCGAGAGGTTTGCAGAAGAAATTCACTGGTCTCGTAGCAGCGAGCTTGAAGCTCACATAATTATTTCTGCATTGTGCAATACTATTCCTGGTCGGTGGTCGGCAGATCTACAGGATGTCCGCGCTGTGGTGGCTATGCCTAAAGGTCCTTGCCCTTGCCCTTGCTGTCGACCACGTAATATGCACTGGTGAACATGTTGACCTGTCCAGCGCCGTAGAGAACTCATGCTCGGAGGGCGGCGATACTGGCCTGAGGGGTCGATACCAGCCAATGCTGCAGGGGCATTGGAAGGCTTGCGGAGACGGAGACGCCGGAGAGCCCCTGTACCTGACGCCGTTCCTGAAGAATGGCTCCATGGAGAAAGCAGTGGAGTTGAGTCGTGTGACTGGAGTGGGCAAATTCGCCAGCTATGCAGGATACTTGACCGTGAATGAGAAGCTATCCAGCAACATGTTTTTCTGGTTCTTCCCAGCACAGACTGACCCGGAGAACGCACCCGTGCTCCTCTGGCTGCAGGGTGGGCCCGGTGCGTCGTCCCTGTTCGGACTGTTTGTGGAGATTGGACCGCTTACGGCGACGAAGGACGGCGCGTTTGTCGACATGCCCGTCACTTGGAACAACAAGTACTCGCTGCTGTTCGTGGACAACCCGGTCGGGACAGGTTTCAGCTTCACCAAGTCCGATGCGGGTTACGTGACCAACGAGGAGGAGATGGCACGTGATCTCCACGACGCGCTGAGCCAGTTCTTCTCCATATTCACATCGTATCAGAAGAATGACTTCTATGTGACCGGTGAGTCGTACGGCGGTAAGTACATTCCGTACATTAGTCAGCACATCATCGAGGCCAACAATGCAGGTGATGGTGTGCACATCAACTTCAAAGGAATGGCAATTGGCGACGCGTGGATCGACCCGCTGTCGCACCTGCCCGCATATCCAGACTTGCTGAAGCAGATGAACACCATCGACGCAGCGCAGGCCAGCGAGGCAGAGCGCACGGTCCGGAACCTGATGAACGCCACACTGATGGGGGATTACATCGCTGCATTTCACACGATGGACGCGTTCATGCTGGGCAACATGTATCCGTATCCGACCTGGCTGAAGAACACCACCGGGTCGACAAACCACTACAACATTCAACGGAGCACAATGCCGGAAATGGAGAACTACTACCTCAAGCCGCTTGTCAATGATAGCGTTCGTCGCGGCTTGCACGTTGGCAACCTGCCATACAGCGGTAGCCTGACCGTGGAGCATTACCTTCTGGCTGACTTCTTCAACACGTCCCTTCCGGCATTTCTCTCGGTGCTGGAAGCCGACGGCGGAAAGTACAAGGTCATGCTCTACAACGGCCAGTTTGACATCGTCGTCGGCAATCAGCTGACCGAGGCCATGATCCAGGCAATGGACTGGGCGGGCAAGGCGGAGTTCTTGGCGGCGGCGCGCAAGATCTGGCGCGTGAGCGAGGCGGACGCGGAGGTGGCGGGCTACACGCGCCAGGGCCGCAATCTGCGTCATGTGATGGTGCGAGGCTGTGGCCACATGGTACCTATGGATCAGCCGGAGAGAGCTCTGGACATGCTCGATCGGTTCATAAACGACATCCCATTCTAAGAACAGCACGCCGTAAAACGGCTAATTTTGGCGGGTGAAAACTTTAGCAATTTTTAACCCAGCATGAAGTTGTGAGCTAAATTTTAGCGATCGGCGCTTCATGTCAGAAAGGCGGAAACAGTAGATCTATGGAACTTTCGATTGGCATTAGCTAAAATTTCACCGTTGCTGAAATTAGCCATCTACAGTATACTTTCTTGTAACAGTATCTTACTAAGTTATTTTCACATTCCAATGAAATCCCTTTAGTATGCATGATATCGATTTCATAGCTGACAATTCGTCAAAATATACGGAATTCTGCCAAGGTTGAAGTGCTGGCCTGGAAACTTCATCACCATCGATATGCTAGAAGAAATGAGAGCAAACAATTGAAGAGAGAGAGAGAAAGAGAGAGGGGGCGGGGGGAGGGGGGGGTGAGGATAAACAACTTTTGAGCATATTGGTGTTTAGAAACAGCCACAAAATCAGAAACTCCTGCGCAAAGTCATAGGATCATCTTTTCCTCTTGGCAGCCAGATGCAGAGGTTATCTATGGTGTTCGCACAGATATGCAACAACCTCTGGCTTTACTTCTAACCCAATCCTTCAGTGTTCCCCATGTGTCAATGTCCTCTCGCTCTCCCCTCTTACATTCCCACATCAAACATGCTCATACTGAGGTTACGTTTGGTTGGTCACATTCCCAAATGGGAATCACTTGGAATCACTCGGAATCATTCTCGCCCGTTTGGCTGGTCAAAAAAGTGCGTTAGGTTGGTCACATTCCACAGGATTCCAGAATGGGAATCGCTGAGCATGATTCTTTCTGGAGAATGATCATTCCACCTCACATGCTGGAATGAGCATTCTCATTCCGGAATCAAAAATGATAATGGCTGCCACGAGCCAAACAATGTAGCAACAGGTTCAAGTGCCTCAAATCATGCACTCAGAAGTACCATGACTCTCTCAAGGAAACTAGAGTTGGGTAAAAGAAAAGACAGCCGCCGTTCCACAACCCATCATGGAATTGTTATATCAGGTGATTCCTAATTGATTCTGGCGCGTTAGTTTGGTCAGGTGATTCTTGCCGATTCCCATTCCAGAATGGTTGTCATTTACATTCTGAAAATGCCCAACCAAACGCAACCTGAGTAGGGAGATTTCTATGCCATTCATGTCATAGAAATCTCTCTACTGCTATTTTAAAGCTAGATTATCGCCTTCTTAGTATTTGACCCCACTAATTTCCCTGATACATGTACCTAAGCGGTCAAATATATCGCGTATTTGACTGCTTAGTCAAATACACGATATATTTGACTACTTATATTTGACTCCTTAGAATTTCTTGGACTTAGAAATTTTCTCTCCAACTGGGAAAAAGAAATTTTTGAAGAAAGCAGAAATACACAAGATGGGATTCGAACCCACAACCATGTGAATCTCAGTCACTCTTCCTTACCACCGAGCCACTGTGCTACCGATGCTGAACCTAATTTAAACATTGACCTTGATCCTGCACTGCCGTACAATGCGGTATAGGCTATAGTATAATACTAGAATTACAAGGATATGTCGTATATGGAGAGAAACTATTGCGTGGAGAACACGATAAATAGATTATAGACCTCATAGTTGGTCTATACAGGATATACCTCCTAACCGGTCTATAATCTATACGTATAGTTAACAATTAGAAGTCATTCAATTATTATTTCATGATTTTGATGACTACGTAAAGTTTGAAATTGTTTGAGAAGAGCATCGATGATGGCCAATGGCCGGAGTATCCGCTTCTAAGTTTTGTCCTTGCCCAAGATCGAATTATGCGGATAATGGTTTTGCAATGTTTATATTGCAATGGGTTTCCACTGTCCAGGGTGCACAGTTATAATATTATAGTCTAAGGTCTTTAAAGCTAAATCTGAGGTCTCCTCTTCCGTGACTGCAGCGGTACTAGTGGAGTCCATTCTGCCAGATGTGACCGTGTGAATGGGTTATTGTGAGGCCCTACTGACTCAATGTCGATGGCAGTGATGCCCATTTTCCCTGCTGGACTCTTTGCTGTAAGGTGGAAATCACGTTCCTGAACGTTGGAGAAGAGAGGGTCTGCAATTATGCTTGATTTGTCCTGCAGAATAGAAGGATTGATAGGAAAAAGAGAACAATTTTACTACGATATTCAAGGTATGCTCTTATGATTTCTACATATTCATTGAAACAGATTGAGTGTTCATTGAAACAGCAAATTCTTTATTGACTAGCAGCTACATCTCAGTTTGCACTGCTTTCACTTATGTTCACTTCTTGCTTCAGTGTCATTGCAAGTTTTGGGAAGATATTGCAAGTCCGTCTCCATGCCAGAGAGATATCCCAGCCAGTGCACAGCAAATTCATTCATATTGAAAATGGATGTTCTAACCGATCATGATCCACCATGAAAGAGATGATCAGGCCACATACTGATATACACAAGGCCTCTACCACAAGAATTGGCTCACCATCCGAGTTCTATCATCAGGTATTTTTTAAAGTGTATGATAGATAAAATTCAGGGCTTGCATCGGAGTCAAACGCACTGACTTTTCAAACCCTTGAAAATGCAACCACCTTCAAGGATCAAAGTCTACTATACAACCCATACACACACACTAATGCATGATCATCTGGAATCTCATGTTGTTAACGTCCGTCACGGCACTTCTTACTTTGCCATTAGCTTGCCATTGTGCAAACGTCGTCTTGTTTGGAAACTGCAGTGTTACGTCGGGGCTGAAGTAGATATTATCGTCAAAGGTGGAATTCTCCATCTTGGTGTACTCCGAAACCAGATGGCTATTCTTGCCGAGCACGTACAAGATATTGTGCTCGAACTGGAAGTCGATGGTGACGGGCTTAGAAAAGCCACCCATGTTGCATCCGGAAAGCGCTCCCCGGTGGCCATTCATGTCGGCGTTGATCACAAAGTTGTTCACGGATGTCAGGTTGACGCCGCAGTGGAAGTATATGCCGGCCGAGGCCACGTCGTAGATCAGATTGGACACGACGTCGACGCCGGCCGCGTCTTCATCGCTGTAGAACCCGTCGGCGCCGTACTGGTAGCACTCGGCACCGTGCATTATGTTCTGCTCCACACGAGTCGCCATGTTGCACGAGGGGCGAGTCTCACTCGGCGGCAGCTGCCAGCAGCTGACCTGGGCCGACACGTACACGCCGCCAAAGTCGTTGAGAATGCCGAGGCCGTAGTCGTGTACGTGATTGTGCTGTGCAGTGAACACGTAGTGACCTGGTGAGCCGTGTGCCACCCAGGGGTAGCCGTCCTGCAAGAGGAAACAACACAGAAACACATTGCCCGTGAACATCAGACAACAGGGTCTGTAAGCACACAACACTTTATGCATACAGGCAAAACAACAGGGACCAACACACTTTTCCATTACGCCATGTTCCGTGTATACACGCGCCTGGTTGGGATGAAGCCGAGACCCAAGGTCGGCAGAGCATCCCAGACCACGCCACCACTCCCTTATTCATGGCTCACACATGACGGGTTTACGTGGCTCTAGTAAAAAAAAAAAAAAAAAAAAGCACACACACGTTTGGTCTCCGTTGGTTTGTATGTGTGCTACCCTAGAGTGTGGAGCACTGTTAATTTTGCAGCGGGTACCTCAGGCACGTAGTCGAACACTACAGGTGTGACGAGTACCACACAGGGAGAGGTGCCTAGCACCAGCCATTGGTGTGTAGCGTATTAGAAGTGCAACTTGTCTAAATCTGAAGAAGAATAGCTCACATTGGTTTGAGCATTGCTAATGTGTAACAAAGTTCCCTGGTTAAGTTCCTGGTGGTGATTGTCACCATTTTCAGCTCAATTTCACCTTTACCACCGTCAAAAACTTCAATATTTTGATGACGCTTATTGCCAAAAACTTCACTGGACAGGCAAAGATAGAGAGATGAATTAGCTGACACCCCATGTGTTCCCGCTATTGTTTCACATCATAATATACAAACTGCTATGGCAAATTCATCTAGTCGTTTCTGATTCTCGTCGGGATTTCCACTTTACAAGCCAATTGAAATTTGATGCCAAATTTTTTTATCTGAGGATTGTCAGCATTCTGTCCCAGCCTGCTCACCTGCCAGCCAATCATGATAGCTGCGTATGGCACGTTCCACACCTCGTTGTGCTCTACAGTGATGTTGCTCTGTCCCTGCACGCGGATCCCCGTCGGCTGCATCATGTAGATAAAGCCGGTGGTGTTGACAATGTTGTTGCTGATCATGATGTCCGTGCTCTTCTCGTCCATGCTAATGCCATCTCCTCCACAGTCAGCTGTCCTGGATTCACACACGGAGAGAAGTATGATGATAAACTAAGGTTGAGGGAGTAGAAAATGGGAACAGTCTGAAGAACAATTGACTGACTGACAACACTAGGACTCGAACCGGGGGACCCTCATTTAATAAGATGAACTTTAAATTCCTCTTTGGATCGCATCTAAGACACACAGTTCGCAGGTGATCTCCTTCAGTAGCATCCACCATTGCTCAACACAAAAATCCAGTTCTGTACTTTAGTTGACCTTTGGCCTTGCTCTTTCGTGGCTTCAATTGTCCGGAATCCGTTGAAACCCTCTGACCCTCACATACCACCCCGTACTGTTATCTGTACAACTCTGGCACCGAGCAGCTTAGTATGGACATGGCATGATGCAGTCTCTCACGATGTTCATGTCTTCACTCACCTGCACGAGTCAACGGTTACTCTGCTGCTGGACTGACCGATGAAAATGCCGCTCACCCCAGTGTGCTTGACGTCACATGTGCTGATCGTAATGTCAGAGCATCGAGAGAGTGTGATTGCCCCTTCCGTCGTGTGATACGCCTGTCGCTTATCATAGCCTTCGAGGGCGTGCTCAACCGCGAGGCACTCGAAGTTCACATGCTGAAGATCGCTTAGTGAGATGACATGGTGGAGTACAGGAAGTATTATGTCCAAAGTCTGTGGCCCTGCCTTGCGCGGCTTGTAGAGGATAAAGCTTTCGTTTCGTTTGTAGTACCATTCCCCTGGGGCATCCAGCTCCTCCAGGACATTCTCTACGAAATATCGTCGACCAGATGGCTCCGGGAATGTGCCCACCGCGTAGTTGGATGGCTCTACGAACTTCACCGTGTTCGTTTTGAAGTCTACAGATTTGATGTGGTGCCATGTGGCGCTCCAAGCGGCGAACACGTTAATCCAACTCTCATTCAGGTTGGTCCACTCTTTACTGATATCGCCGGGCTCAAATACAAATCCGTACTTGTCAATGCCAGGACATCCTGGTGATCCGGCTATGGATCGCCAATCACTGGGCAAGTCAACGGACAGATCCTCGATCTTGTGGCATGGCTCAATAGGCGACTTCCAGTACTGTGAAGGAAGAATAGAATGGCGTTCAGCGTTTACAGGCATCCTTCGAGAAAATGAGTCAAATCAACACTATTAGAAGTCTTAGGCTGTCATATAATACAAATAGCAATGCACCAAATTTTTTCTTCATGCAATACTGAATGATGCAAACAGAGCATGTAGGTGAGTTTCACCATCACAGGCATGAGCCAGATTGCACAGCAATGCGGATGTGCGAACTTCACTTTACTTTGAAGGTGTGATGACTCGAGGGAAGGCAAAATCAGCCAGAAAACAACAAAATAATAACAGTGTGACAAGTGCAGCCAGAATTGACGCAGTGCCATCCAGGAATATGAAGGTTTCGTGACTCTTTTTAAAGGGGAAGTTAAGGCAAAAATTAAAATTTCACCAGTTGTAGTCTTCGGGGTGCTGAGTCGAATGGTCTTGGTCCAAGAAAGCTGAGACGCTCCCTTCCTACTTGAATCCCAATCGAACTCGTGCACTTCCACCGAAACTGGGTGACTGCGCCCTACTAGATGGGGATTTGTATGCAAAATGTCACTAAAAGCGCCATTTTGTTCTTATAAAAACACGGATGACCGCGATTGGCCCATATGTTGTAGTCTTTTGGACGCTGAGTCGACTGGTTTTGGTCCGAAAAGGCTGAGATGCAGCGTTCCTCCTTTATTCTCAATCGAACATGGTTGAACAAGTGGTCACGTGCTCCTGGGTGCCCAAATCACCTGGTCACCACGCCAGCAGGCGACAACTTTCACACCAAAGTTCAAATCGAGTTCAACTCGAGTGACAGGACTGCACCCAAAAAAGGTCAAACAGGCTAGTAAGTTGTACCCTGCAGGCACGGTGACCAGGTGACTGGTGTACGCAGGAGCACGTGACCGCTTGTTCAACCATGTTCGATTGGGAATGAAGGTGGAACGCTGCATCTCAGCCTTTTCGGACCAAAACCAGTCGACTCAGCGTCCAAAAGACTACAACATATCGGCCAATGGCGGTCATCCGTGCTTTTATAAGAACGAAATGGCGCTTTTAGTGACATTTTGCATACAAATCCCCATCTAGTAGGGCGCAGTCACCCAGTTTCGGTGGAAGTGCGCGAGTTCAATTGGGATTCAAGTAGGAAGGGAGCTTCTCAGCTTCCTCGGACCAAGACCATTCGACTCAGCACCCCGAAGACTACAACTGGTGAAATTTTAATTTTTGCCTTAACTTCCCCTTTAAGAGCCACACATCTGGAAAATGGTGACTCGCATCTAATCAGGCTGAAGCACCACCAATGACAGTGCAACTTATGCTAGGGATAAACCCGACATGTAGCACAGGATCATGCTCTAGTCTAAGTACCCAGAAATTTTAGGACTTGCCAGAAAGTGATTACTCTTTTCCTTGTGCTGTGTGAAGCCAACAAAAACTTGAAAATGGATCAGTGCACTCACAAGATAACCAGTGTTGGGTTTCCTGGCCACTGGCTCTCGCTGTCCATTCACAAAGAGTTGGGTGATCGGTGTGTCCGGTTTAACAGTCTCTGGAACGGTTATGTAGTAGTTGCCATCATCCAGTTCTCGATAGTTGGTCAGTTTAATGCCGCCGGAGAGGACGGGAAACTCGGCTGGATCCACGGTGGATCTAAGTAAAGTGTTCGGACACCCGCTGAATGTCAGCGGAGCCTCAGCAGACCTACAGTAGGGAAACAGTGGGATATACCGTTAGAGGAAATAGTAATACGTAGTACTAGTCACAGAGTTTAAACACATTGTTTTAGGGCGCGTTCGAATTGTCACTCTTTGACTTTTCGAGGAGTTTCGTTTTTCTGAAGAGGTGGCCTATTGGCTTCTTCAGAAAACGAAAGTCTCCTCGAAACTCTACAACCTCATCAAATGGGAGAGGCGGATTAGTTCCGAAGAGTTTGGAATAGCTACGTCGAGATGGTCGATCGGATCTGACGTCATTATCGGCATGACAATTTCACTGAAAAACTCTAAAATGACAGAAACCGTTCTATTGGGACACTTCAACTAAACTCTTCTAAGATGTTTCTCGAAAAGGTGATGAGGGCAACTCGAACACGTCCTAAGTCTTCTCAAGTGACGACTGTCGAAATAATTATGGAAGTGAATTCAGATACTGCACACAGTGTTCAATGAAGGATAGTGCCCATGTGCGACCATGAGTCATGGCCGTAGTTGCATGGAGATCACGACGCTGTACCCTGAGAATTATAGTGTGTTCCACTGGTCATTAATGTACATAATACATTTCAAGGCTTGAGAGTCGGTCTAACTAATGACTTTTCGCATCAACAGGTGATCCAGGGGTACGCAATGCACCAGCCTAATGGGATCAAGGCGCAGATGCAGCTAAAGCGGTGGGTGGTGAGCAGTAGATCAGATCAGACCCACCACAAAGTGGTCCAAAGACGAAAATCCCTGCTTCGAATGTCCATGGACAAATGAATGGATTTTTTTGTATCTGACAGGCGAGAAATTCTGCTTTTCCATACCAATGGATCTGCCCCTACTCGACTCCCAACTCACCTGTTATACAAACTGTCCATGTCGAGTGTCGATTCGAAGTAATACGTGCCTTCTTCGATGATGACTATGACCGGTTCAGCAGGGTAATCTCTGCTCAGAGAGGCTGCCTGCTGTACGGTCGCCACGGGTCCATCGCTGCGCGCCGTGTTGGGCTTTGGGAGGAGACCGGACCACTTGTCGTCGCCCTTCGGACTAACGTAGAACTTCACTGGTGGCACCGGGGCTGAATTCGCCACAGGAAAGCACGAACTCAACGTCACCACCAACGCAACAGCGGCAAACAGGAATGCTGAAGAAAAGAACTTGATTGCAGTCATCGTGTGTAGATCTACTGGTTTGTAGTTCTTTCCGCAAGGCACGCTGGTATGAGGTCGACCGGTCGCGGAGTTCAAAGTTGACAACCGTGCCTTTATGCTAGGCCCTGCGAGGCAGGCTGTAGTGTAGCGCAGGTTTGGTCGATTGAGTTTGAGACTTCAGCAACGAGTTGGTCCGAGTAAGCTCAAGCCTTGAAGACTAGGAAACCTGTGAAAACGTCTTGCAAAGCTTCGACCTTCAATGGCGAAATATCTTCATCATGCATGATCATCCCGCATCCCGACACAAAAAGCACTCCACAAGTCCACATCTTGACTGCACGTGCACGACGTGCGTGCTACCTGTCATGATTATTGGCAGGATCAGCAGCAGCCCCATCTGGCTGAAGGCTGCACTGCAAGCATGGTAGTTCTTTTACTTTGCGGCTTCGATATTCTTGAGCGAAGGAAGTATGTATATTGCAAACATCAGTATCAATAATTTTTACTGTCTGAAAACGTCATGTCCAATCTTGCATGCCATGAAAAATCATAATTAAATTTTATCGTGACATACCGCATTCCCCCGAATATACATGTAAGTCTCACCTTTTTACCCTTATTAAACTTCAGGGCCAACAAAGGGGGTGCGACTTACAATCGAGCATGACTTATTACTGAAGTGAATATATCAGAACGATAATGACATGGACCTGGAAATGGGGCTGAGACTTGAACTCGGGGAATTACGGTACATGTACGTATATTATATCCTCTTCACAGGATTATAGTCATTTTTGTATCAGGGCCCTGCCCCAGGAGGCATTCACCTATTCATTTTGGCCTTTTGGGATGTTCCAGACCACTGGCATAGTCCACTACCCCCTCGGGAGATCACGGTGAAATGGATATCTAAGAACGGAAAGTCAAGTCACCCTTTTCTTCCCACGTGCGAGCAAGAACTACTTCGCGCGACTTGAGCCTTATCTCTGGGTCAGTGGGCACCTGGATAGCACAACGGCGAGTGTGTGAGAAGTAGATCTAGTGATTGCGCGGGAGTGTCATCGGGTGGTTATCGATGACATTCCCGGATGATGCCCGGCTGCAGGGGTTACGTGTTCAGCGTGTGGAGTGCCTTCACCATGCCCGGGATGACGATAGATCTACATAATTCATTGTGCACGGGGATGTAGCATTGGCAGATTGTATTACTATTACTTGTGGAACTTGTAGAAGGTGCGAAATCAGAACCCATAAGTCTACCTGCCTTGTCTCGGATCAAATCTTGTGTTTCTCAGATCTGAATCATGATGAATGATATCAAATCAGGGCATTCGTGATGTAGATCTGCCTTCATCATTTTCCCTGTTGTCAGTGTTGATGCAAACTTTGTAAGGTGTAGATCTACGCATTCTGTGCACGGAATATGGGCACGCTCGGGAAAGGACCAAAGATGGGCAGTGCATGTGGACACTCTACTGGTAAACGGAGGATGGAGAGTTCGAACCTGTCGGTCAAACTGAATGCCTCTGCTCAGTGATGTGAGCGGTTCTGAAGGATGGTCACATTCCTTTCTGAGGTGGACCGTAGTACGGATCCGATCTTCATGGTGTGATTATCGCTGTAAGGCGCGTTGTCGGAGGAATGGCGGGGGCCAATTCGGTTCCAATGCATGACTGAGTCTTTATAATAATTATTATCACTGAGTCTGTGCATCAACACTCTAGTCTCTACCCCCAGGAGACCAATGATTCGGTATCGGGTGGTGCGGTGATTTCTGGAGGCAGAAGCGACGAGGGAAAGGCGGTGAACACTGCCCACCCCTACTACACAAACCCTGCTGAATCAGAATGGAACATACGATAACCATCAGTTCTGTCCGCAGATTGAATATCCATCAGTTGGATTGTTTCCCGTCATTATGCGTTGCCTTTCAAATACTACTACTGTAGTACAATCACCAGCAAGGCGCCAGCACTGGAGCTGGGAGGGGAGGCTCTTGTGCATCAGGGTAGGCAGTCGGACAAGTACGACTCTCTGTGAGCTGTGGTGTTCGTGTAGCTCGACCAAAGACATTTACCACTTTCTCAAGAAGAGCCTTACAGCATCCATTTACAACACAATCGAATATTTTCTTGCTTTATTTTGGAGTGACCGTCTGAGTGAATGGCATCACGTGGAGCCGACTAACGCATGGTCTAAAGTTCACTAGCACACGCCCCCGGCGATCCAGACGTTGGCAAACCGACACCAATCGGACACACTTGGATGAGTCGCACACTCACTGAGCACCTCTGCGAGTGCTGATATCACCATGATCGCGTTGTGATCACAGGACTACTGAGTACTGTATCTCCTGCTGACTTCACGGGTCAAACTTTCAATGGAGAGATCTCTCTGAGCCGGTACGCGGTAGCTGCGGACTATTCACGGGTCGGTCTTCGAATTCTGGTGGCAGTCGTGTGCGAGCGCAAGCAAAACTGTTTCCGATGTCGCCGGTGTTTCACGCTGTGCTTCCAGGGTGAAACAATGATACAATTTACAACACCGGTGTTGTTTCTGTACACTCCCTGGCTTCCAGAGCAAACAGTTACCGTGCTAAGCAGTCTGCTTGTGTGGTAACTGATTCCGTACACGCGATACGGACACGCCAGTGTGATTGGCGATATCATGCCGGGTCGTGTGTTCTGGAATACAATGTACATGTACTGTCAGTGTCCTGATAGAATCTGTTTTTATGCTGCGGTGTGTGACGGAGCAAGTCTGGAAGATACCCCTCCACGTAACATGGGATTGGTTTGCATGTCCATGAGGTTTGGCTTCATATTCGGCTTGTCCTGCTGGTCATCTGCAAAGTAGATTGTAGTGGACGAGATCAATGCCAACGCTGCCTGATGAGGCGCCGTCACCTGGAGGCCACCCCATGCTGAGACTAACGAATGCAGCATGGAAAATGCTCGGCAAACCCAAGGGTCTACAAATGGGCAATGGCTTTGCCTTCGCTTGTAGGGTACATGTGTGCTGCATTGTTCGCCTGGAAAGTCGAAACACTGCTACCACCAGACCTCACACCATGTCAGTATGTGTTCGCAGACGTCGTGCTGCAGATCAACTATTTCAAATACAACGGAGGCGAAAGGCCGTTTACGGCTATAACTTTCGCGTTTCACGCATTTCAGCGATCACCAGACAGCAGCATTTGGCATTCACCAATGCCATTATGTGTTTATGACACAGTGTTAGGAATTCCTCCAACCGCACCTGGTCAGGTCGTGACCAACTTATAGCTGAACACAATGCGCACATGGCTGGTATGGGTGCGCATAGCCAGAGGGTGAGACTTTCTCAGGGCATCGGTAATGTGAGAAATGAATAACTCCCATGTGAGAAATGAATAACTCCCATTTTTCACGATGGGAGTCGGATCGCGTAGGCCAATTACATGACACGTGTGGCCATAGAGAGGTTGAGTCTCCGGGCTGTCACGGGCTGTCGTCTTCGCGGTCCTGAATGCTGTTAGGAGAGGACGGTGATGGAGATGGCATTGCAACGCGTACACCTGCTGTAGGCTAGCAACAGCGAATGATGTATTAAATTGCTGCAGCTCTATCTCACACCCTCAAGCTACCTTGCCATTGTCAAAGTCAGGAATCGCTCGAACATTCAACAGTCCTCCCCAGGTGCGGTCCCAACGATAGTTGACGGAAGGAGTGATTGACTGCACGTTTGTAGTAATTTGATGGAGCTGGGTGGGAATTCCTAAGCTCAGCAATTGGTTATAATTTGCGGTCTACCTACCCCCAGTAGTGCTGCAAAGTCACGAGCTGACATTGTCAGTGAAGCCACAATGTTGGCTGTAGGCTCAGCTCCCACATGTAATCTGGTCAGCATAATAGACTGGGTGATGAATGTTCAATTTTCAGCGCGTTGATTGGATAGAGGGCATAATCAGCGTATGTGCGGTGGTTCAGTTCGGAGCGCCCACAACCTTCAAAGTCATTTCTTTTTTGAATTTTTTCAGATTTCACCTCTGTGGTTGTTCTTGCTGTTGTTTCAGGCACGCACACCCACCCACAAATACACGCCTACACATACTCACACACCCGCGCGTACAAGCACACAGGAACACACAAATGTATACAAGGACACGCATAGGAAGCTGTAGGAAATTGGGGACAGCATGATCATGGCACAGTGAAGTAGGTGACAACAGAGAGACTAGCTAACAGTTGCCACTCGTCCAGGGGTGCTTACAAGCCTCCAAACATCCCCTCCTGCTACGCCACAGTCCCCGATGGTCAGTAGACTCTCCTCAAAATCGATCTAGATGCTTGTATCGTTGCCTAAATCATAGCAACAACACTAAAAGTCATAGTACTGTGGTCACTCGAAAAACGACAGTGAACTTAGCTTTGCATGCTGCTCTACATTGGCGTGTAACTGTGCTCTCGTACTGCGTCATGCCACTGCCCTCGATGGAGCACTTTGCTATTTTGAAGTTCCTCGGGGATTATCTACATGTAAGTAGATCTGACTTTTTTGATAATATTATGCCGAATGTTGAGATCCGTTTCCACATGTAAATCCCTGCTGAGCCTCTTTTCGCCCGCGGACAGTACAAAGAGAATTTACAGAGCTGATTCCATCAGTGCAAGCAACTGTGGGAAGTCAGAAAGGAACCCCGTGGCAATTTAACAAATTGTCGAGACTTCAGTATGAGAAGCGTATCAAACGCTCAAACACTCACCTGTCAATCTTGTAGGACAGCTATGAATGGGTGGCTTACCATCGGGAAATTACAGCGCCTGATCGGGTCGGAATTCGCAGATTGATTTGGCGCACTGCGACTGCGAAGGTGCGAAAGCGACCGTGGCCGAGTATGGGAGATGTTTCAACCTCAGCCATTGCTAACTCAGGCTGGGTAATTGGGGCAAGTTAGGGAGGGTGAGTCATACCGTTGCCTGGGTGTTAACTGATCATGAGCATCGCCTGCCAACACCTGCTGCTCGGGGAGAGAAAGCTAGAGGTGCTCCCCTGTGGCCCTGCAGCCGCTTGCGGGTCGACCTGGCACTCCAGCAGCCGGCTGGACACTAGCTTAACCCTTGGCCCTCACCCGCCATTTCATCTCCTGTCCGGTAGGTCTACATCAATAGGGTGTTCTGGTGCTCAGCGTGAGCTCAGTGGCTGTCATGTCGTGCTAAGTCTGACAATCCACAACTTCAGACTAGAGCCATGCTCCAGCTCTCACCAGCTTCCGCATAGGGTCCAAATCCAGGCTACTCT